CAACAAGTAAAGCAAAATTCAAAAAAGAGGTCAAAACATTTTATGGAGAGAAATCAAAATGTATATGATCTAAAGTAGAGTACCCTTTTCTGAAACCTGCATGTATACAAAATCTCCTTGCGGAAACAAATAGCCCATCTAAATATATGTTATTTAAGAGCATAATTAAACACTTCGCACTACAATAAAGTTTTTGGTAAAACCTATTTCTGTTCCATTTTATATTGTGTTACATTACATTTTCTAAACCTAACAACTTTTTGGAGAATTTAAAATTAATTAATTTTTTATTATATAAAATCTTCTTTAGAAATAGTCTATCATTCTTATGGACAAGCACACATTTGCCTTTATTTATCCTAAATTTATATATACTACATTCATAAATAAATACCGGTATATGAGGGTTTTTTAAATTTTGTTTCCTATAAATCAACAACAAATATGCTCGATTTCTTAATATGCTTTCAGGAAACATTTCATAGAAAACTTTTTAAAAAACAATTATATGTATGTTATATCCGATTTTATGTAAAGTTTTTGAAAATATGAGTGTGATTTTTTTTCTTAATTCGAACGTTCAGAAACCCTTGGGGCCATTAGTAAAGAGTACTGTGTATACCACATATACTGCATGTATATATATACACTTTGTCATAGGCATTATTTCCTCCTAGGTAAATCACACAGAATATACAAAAAATACACCTGACCTCGCGACACGTGTCCCCACCTGTGGCAACTGGCACGTGAACTTCACTGAAGACAGGTGCCCGTACGTTAGTGAGGTTCGACGTAAATTATTGAAAAAAATCGACCCGAAAATATCAACTTATATATACACACTACTATTATAAAGAAAATACTTCTAAGTATGTTTGTAAGAAAATATAAACTAAGTAATTTGTCCAAGGTAGAATAACCTTTCCGAAAGCCAGTTTGACTTTCGCTTATATATGATTTAAGCTTTCTACATAACTTCCAAGCGTTTATATATAAAATGGAGGTAAAAAGCTTACCGATGCTACTTAAAAGTGTTATTGGACGATAATTTTCTGGATTTGTTGGGTCACCTTTATTGTTAAAAATCGGTTTGACAATACCCGTGAGTCATTCGTCTGATATTATTCCACTATCAAAAATTAAGTTGTACAATTTTTTATATACAGGCAAAAAAGTACAATGTAACTATTCATGCTATTTTTGATGAAATATGTTCGTTTAACAACTGGTCGTAGCCTGCGGCCTTATTATTTTTTTTTTATTCTTTAACTGCACATAAAATTTCTTCCTCACTAATCTCAAAATTCAAGATATATGCAATAATTGGTGTCGTGTACCTGCCCCCAGAAGGCAGTAAATACGCATCAGAATATTTTTTAAAATCTGTTATTGCAGAAAAAGAGATCGGGACTTAAACCCCCCCCCCATTACTTCACTCTTGAAATTTTAAGAGTTTGCGCCCCTCATGCCCCCTTAAATCCGCTATTTTATGATACCGGCAAACATTCTCAGTTTTAAAAAAATATAATAAATATATTTATCCTTATTAGAATAAGAATCAAACAAAATATAAGAATCAAACAAAATATAAGAATTTAAACAAAAATCTTTTAGTTAGAACCGTTTTTGTACATGGATTTGGGAGTTCAACAGTTATTTTTATTTGAGTTTAAATTTTTTCTTCAAAATTATGGCTCTTTTTGAGAAGGCCTTCACGTGGCAAGAGCTGGGAAACGGTATCAGTATCATTTTTTTTTTTTGGGGGGGGGGGGTTATATTAAATGATACTGGCAAACATTCTCAATGTTTCCCATAAAATCATCCCATAATTTTTAAAACTATAAATTAACGGACAAGTTGGAAACTTTGTTTTTCTTAAAAAAAAAAAAAAAAAAAAAAAAAATATCAGTGGGCACTTTGACCAAAATTTGGGGGCAATTTGAAAACTTTGTTTTTCTAAAAAAAAAAAAATGCGCTCTGACCAAAATCAGGGGGCGCTTTATAAACTACGTTTTCCTATCAAAATATGTCAGGGGGCGCATTGACCAAAATCAGGGGGCGCTTTAGAAACTACAGTTTCCTATCAAAATATGTCAGGGGGCTTTGACCAAAATCAGGGGGCGTATTGACCAAAATCAGGGGGCGGTTTAGAAAATACGTTTTCCTATCAAAATATGTCAGGGGGCGCTTTGACCAAAATCAGGGGACGGTTTGACCAAAATCGGGGCGCTTTGACCAAAATCAGGGGACGCATTGACCAAAATCAGGGAGCGGTTTAGAAACTACGTTTTCCTATCAAAATATGTCAGGGGGCGCATTGACCAAAATCAGGGCACGGTTTGACCAAAATCAGGGGACGCTTTGACCAAAATCAGGGGGCGGTTTTGTAGTATCATATTTCTATAAAATATGTCAGGGGGCGCTTTGACCAAAATCTGGTGACATTTTGACCAAAATCATGGAACGCTTTGACCAAAATTAGGGAACGCTTTGACCGGGGCGGTTTTCATGGGGAACGGTTTGACTGGATTTCTACAGTGGATCTTCAGATATCCGGACCCCAGATATCCGGATGCTTCAGTATCCGGACGATTTTTCATCGAGAGGAAATTTTTAAATGTTATATTGTGTGAATGTTTCATTGAACTGGCAGTCTATGCGAAAGTCACCGAACCATCAGTTTTTACCAGTAAAATTTAGGTCGGGTTGGTAAAAAATTTCAGTATGTCCGATGAAAAATAAGTCCAAATAAATCTAGATTAAGAGGTACACATGGTCAAATTCCCCACAAATATCCTTTATTTGACCAATTTTGCAGTAATACCTGATTAATTTTCATGTATTACAACCCTGTCATGATCGTTTTTATTCTAATTCGAATTTCCTCTGTCAAGGATTAGAGATCTTTAGATAGCTCATACATAGATTTGGTTGGGAAAATATTTTGATATTTTTCAAATGATAATTGACTTGAGTAACCATAATAAATTGTTTCAGGAAAAATAAATATGCATTGAAAGTGCATATTTAAATTTAAGAAAATCTTTGATACAGTGTATGTTGTATGTTGTATAAGTCAAATATGAAGAAAAAAATGCATGCAATTGTATAAATAGATATCTTTTACAAAGGAAAATTATAAATAGTTAACTTTCCTGATTTCACTCTGTATTTATTTAAGATTTATTTAAGGTTAAATTTCACAGTGAAAATTAACCCCAACCCACCCACCCTCTTAATCTTAGTATCATAATGATGTATGGATTTAGATAGCTCATACATAGATTTCGTTGGGAAAATATTTTGATATTTTTCAAATGATAATTGACTTGAGTAACCATAATAAATTGTTTCAGGAAAAATAAATATGCATTGAAAGTGCATATTTAAATTTAAGAAAATCTTTGATACAGTGTGTGTTGTATGTTGTATAAGTCAAATATGAAGAAAAAAATGCATGCAATTGTATAAATAGATATCTTTTACAAAGGAAAATTATAAATAGTTAACTTTCCTGATTTCACTCTGTATTTATTTAAGATTTATTTAAGGTTAAATTTCACAGTGAAAATTAACCCCAACCCACCCACCCTCTTAATCTTAGTATCATAATGATGTATGGATTTTAAAGGGGAAAAAGTCGGCCTGGTAAGAAATTGTTTGGTCTGGTAATAATTTTATTTTTACCTGACATTTTGTCCTGTAAAAATTTTAAACTTTCGCGTAGACTGAACTGGTGATTCAGGTATCCGGTCACTTCACATATCCGGACAAATTGACTAAGAATCAAAGCGTCCGGATAAATGAGGCTCCACTGTATTTGTTTCCATCGCAATTGAATTCAATATTGAAATCACCAGTACACAAAAACATTTCGTAAACTGGGAATGGATATTGGAAAGTCAAAACGAAGTTCATTTTCAGAATATGCTGTACTTGCATTGGTCAATATGTTAATGAAGTACAAAATATTCTCTTCTCATTCAACTACGACCAGAATTGCAGATTTTTGCCATGGTTTGTGACGATGATGCAGGGCCTGAAAAGACCTTCACCTGCACAGGTCACAATATAAAAGTGGGAGTATTAGTTACTACTTACTTAATGTTGAACACAGATATCTCTAACATAAGCTATGATGTCAATTGAGGGGCAGTCTCAACTGTTTTATTTTTTGAGTTGGCTCGCGTAGCGAGCTACTCCCTGTCGACATAGCTATTTCAGAGCTGTAAATTTTTTCACGCATTCATCAAGGTGATCCATACGCCAAATATAATAGTTCTATCAAAAAATGCTTTGGTTTGAGTGATTGAATAAACTTAAGAGGTAAAAACTGTATAAAATTTCATACTGTAACATTATTTATGCCTTCATGCTTTTAAAGAAATTTTTGATTAAATACCTGTACGATGTACAATTACTGCGTATGAATATATGTTCAAGCATGTTAGGCGGATCTAATCTTCCCATCTGAAGTTTATTTATAATTGACCTAGAATACCCCCTAACACAAACACCTGCTGCTCTCATTAGCTGCAGCTAGTTGTTGTTGAAAATCTATTTTTAGAATCCAGATTTGCTGTGGGAATCTTTAACCTAATTATTCCATAACACTGACCACTTCAGCTAGTGTGCTGAAATTCATTATAGAATCCAGTCAAAATAATACGGAAGCCCATTAGTGCCAACCTGTATATATAAAGGAAAAGCAATATACACTTTATTTATGAACCGAACATGGATCAGACATATAATATTCAATCTCTTAAGATGCAAAATAAACTGAATATATGAAGGTATGGTGCCCAGATGTATGAAAAAGCTCAATTGACTCGAGCGAGTCAACTCGCAGGCCTTTCAGGCCTTTGATTCTATATATTTTTATAACCTTTTTATCTGTAATTGTCAGCAATCTCAAAGTTTGTTGTCAGTCCTGTTGAGTTCTATATAATAAGGTTTGACTGTATTTCATTATATTTTTGTTTCTTTGGTTCTAGGTTCAGGCCTCGGGAAGAATGAGAATGGAATGAAAGACGCCATTAAAGTCAAGATAAAGAAGGACGGTCATGGGGTATTGATTTATAGGCTCATTTTTAGCTCTACTGGTACAGCATGGGCAGATTCCAAACTAAAGAATAAGAAGAAAGATTAATATTGCAATTGAGAAAATCATAACACAATTTTTTACTGGGGAGGGGAAAAAAAGGACAGACCAAATTAGGATTCTAATCACTAGGGCTGTGTATTGAGCAAAAAATTTTGATACGATACAATATTTTTTAAAGCGATATGCGATATATTGTACCGTATAGCTGGTTTTCTTGGCGGGTGTAAAATTTGGCGTTTTGCCTGCTGAAAGGTATGCCAATAATTTTGGCGTAATTTATTTTAGCGGACACAGGGCTTCATCTCTTTGCAGATGAACACTAAGAAGACTAAGTTAACTGTTAATTGACTATTTTAGCGATTAAAATTTTAGCGGGCTGCCATCTAAACGCCAAAATAAGCCAAAATTAGCACCCCGCTAAAATAACCCGCTATACGGTATTCTAAAACAAGTCCATAAAAAAGGCTTATTAATCATTTGATGCATGGATTTCATGAAAAGTTTTATTAGTGTTTTATTTCCCATTTCAAAGTTCTTATCCCATAGTCAGTGAATAAAACACTTCCAATCGAAAGTTTTAATAACTGTAAAATCATCATGTTAAAATAAAATTGTTATGTATTTTATAATAACTATAAAATCTGTGTTATTTCTTTTATAAAACTATAATTATTGATCAGTTTTAATTCAAAAAAGGGAAATAAAATCTTTGCTGATTAAAATTCCCATCTTTTTAGCAGAATTGGAAGAAAAACTGCTTGTCCGATACATATTGGATGTAATTTTTCGATACGATAGTTTTTTGAATATCGATATGTATCGATATATTGATACAGCCCTTCTAATCACTAGTCAGGTTTTTTACAAGGGTAACCAAACTGGACTGTCTATCAGCTGACAATAAAACCTGTCAGACTGCAACAGTATCACTACTGGACTCACATTTCACGGGTGCTACAATGTGACTTTGATTTTGTTTTGTAGGTCGGGCACAACACAGGGGATGAGTTCACATTTCACTGGTGGGACCATGTATTTAACAAGGCCGCCAACAGCATTGAAGTGAATACCACAGAGGTAATGTATTTTCAAAGATTCTGATCCAGTAATCATGATGTTTAATACAATTTCATGCAGGGGATGCTCACTCCTCCATGGCACCTGATCCCAATTCTCTGATGTTTTAGAGGACCGTGTTTCTTTGCTCCTATTTTGTATAGTTTTTATGGACTTTTGATCTAGAATACTATTTGTTATCTCCATATGTTTCATGCCTAAATATTATGAATATTTCTTTTATTCAACACGGAGAAACAAAACAGATATTTGAAAAAAGTGTCTTTGATGTAAATTAACCCACACAAGTTTTTTCAAGCTTATGAAATTTTTTACGCACACACGTTTTGAAGCTAGTAAAATTTTGAACCCAGATGAGTTTTTAAGCTAGTGAAATTTTGAACCCACACAAATTTTAAAGATATAAGTAAAAAATTTTTAACCCACACATATTTTGAATCTAGTGAAATTTTTAACTCGCACAAGTTTGAAAGGTAGTGAGATTTAACAAACTGTGATTTCAGGAGGGGGTGTCTGTGAGGAAATCTAAAGGACAGTGGAGGGGTGTCCACGAAGAAAGCTCGGACGTTTGACAACAAGGCCATGCTGTACGGACAATTTGTCAAGGTAACAAGCACTTCATTTTAGGAGGGGATGCCAGTGAATGGGACTAATTTGATTCCCAATCCCATTAAAAGCAACGTTAATTAGTTAAACTGGGTTATCTCAATTATGATGGCACTAATAAAATAACTTGGAGATATTGAAGGATTTTGGATATTAAGGGTGAAAATACTTAAAAGAATAAGTTGTCCAGAGTTCTAAATCACTTTGACATATTAAATTCCATGGTATTCAAGATACCAGTATTTAAGGTATATTACGTGTGCCAATGAAATATTAAGTGTAATCATTTACATTACATGTATGTATCATCCATTCTTTAAAGGCCTGTTTGTGACTGGTAGATGTATATTTTTTCAGAGGCTCGAAAGACTGTATGTATGTAGAAATATTCCATTCAGTATAAGCTAGTAGAAATGATGACTTGCTTTGTTTTTTGCTCTATAGGGAGCAACACTAGACAACAATGAGGAAACCCATGTAGAAGCCTCCACAGACATAGAATACACAGAAGAGGACAAACAGTGCCTCCAAAAGTAAATATCAAAGTCTAGATTCAGAGCGTAAATATATATAGAGAGTATCCCATGATTTGTGGTTGGATATGATTTTTATCCAATAAATTGTGTTTTATTCCAGTTGGATAAAAATCATATCACAAATCGTGGGTGATTCAATGTATTCCATGTGAGCTTATTTTACCTGATCAATCTCGGGCAAAACCCATTGTAACATCACAACTTCAGGATATCTAAAAAATATCCGATGAGTCATATCCAAATTGAAGGCTAAGAGTGGGATAAAAGCAATCATCTACTTGTATTTCATTTCTGAGAGGTTCAAAGGAATGACATTTCAACACAAAAATTAGAATATAATAAAATGTTATTTACAATTGAAAATTAAAATTGAGAGCTGAGCATAGGACAAAATTTCCAGCTCTCCACCTTCAAGTGACTGTGTTGGCATCTCAATATGAGTGTAGAATTCTCAAGAGGGAAGTCAAATAAGGCTATCTGAATTTAATTCCCTGGTTCTCAGGCCAATTTTCTCCAAAACAGATGCGGGAGGGCGGCATTTTATTTTTCATTTTATTGGCAAATATTTACATTTGCAAATGTTTCCTTTTATATAACACTACTGCAAGCAAGCGTTTTTATAACTGTATAAATACAGGTACGGGGTCAAGAGGTCATAGATGTGCGTTTGGATAAACGTTCGACGTAATCTCTGTGTGACGTCATAAAGGGTCGACGCGGATTACATACATGCCGTTGGGTTTGAAAAATAACGCATTTCGCACGTTAAAAGTAACAATCAGGCAAAGTTAAAGTATGAATAAGTCACAAATGTAAATATAAGTAATAACCCAAATGAAAAAAAGGGGGAAACAAAATACTATAACAAACTACTTACAAAACATATGTTTTGAAAGTGTTTTGATAGTATAGCAAATCACATGCAAATGAGCTAACAAAACACTATAACAAGTTACTTTGAAAACACTCTAACAAACTACTAACAAAACGCTTGTAACAAAATGTTACGAAACACTCTAACAAACTACTAACAAAACACTGTGTTTTGATAGTATTCCATTAGTATAGAAAATCACATGCAAATGAGGCTAACAAAACACTCTAACAAAATACTAACAAAGCATAAGTAACAAATCATCAATAAACCACTAAATTTGAATTTTTAAAATTATAATTAGCAAATTCACAAGTCTTTGAAAACATCTAAACACAGTCTCATATTGAAACATTATTAACATCTTGTTTCACAGTATTTTGAATTCCAGGTTTGACATTATTGTTCAATAGACAATAGCACGTACACCATTCCAACATTTAAAAACACCAAGTTCGATTCATGATCACTCTCTTATATCGATCATTCTCTGCAGTGAAATCCTTTGATGTAAGAGATATAATTCTCAATCCATTGACCATTTCTCCATTCACATACATTTTCACAGAATTTTCAAGTATAATTATAATTCATTTAACCCAGTGCTTAAAACTGATCTAAGCTGGGTAGTATTAAAGGTCAATCTTAAAATGAACAAAAACCCAATAAAACAGGCCATATACACATCCACATTCACAGATTGAAGGTTTAACTGTAGTCCAGTTAAAGAACTTTATGTCATGCAATAAATAAATACCTCTGTTATGTCCAGATTCATCCTGATTTTGCTTTTTCCAATCAGGGATCAATATATATACTAACACTTTACATGTCCCTTCACCAATCTCTATGTTTCTCTCTGACCTAGTGCTGGTGTTTTGAAAATTGGCGCAAAACTAGTAACACAGGATATAAATAGATAAGTTGTTCTTGGAAGATTTTACTGCTCTTAGATAAGTAAACCCTAAACATGTCTGTTAATCAAATGAAATGCTAACAAAATATTAATTTGATGCAGACAAGAATAATGAAACACTTTCAAAATGCAATTTCATTCTGCAGAGTGTAATGAAACATTAATAAAACACCAACATTGTAATGAAACATTAACAAAATACCATGCCGCCCCATCCTGTAAAGTATAGCATTGATGTTTCGTTAAATGCAACACTTTCAAAACATACTAAGAAAATATAAAAGTATGATTTGGTAGTGTTTTGAAGATATTTTGAAAGTATTTTGTTAGATTTCTTTTTCATTTGGGAAGGTATCATTTTTTGAGTTTTATTGAGATGTAAAACGGGTTGGCACATGATCAAATCTTTCATAAAGCCCTTCGGGCTTTATGGGATTTGATCACGTGACTAACCCGTTTTACATCTCAATAAAACTCAAAAAATGATACCTTATTTCTTAATAAAGTAGATGAGGGAGGTATTTTTTTCAATTTTAATTTCCGAATTTTCTTTAACATAAAGATAATTTTTTTAATCACAGATATACTTTCCATTTCTGGTCAAAATTTCTGCTTTATCCATTGCTTAACAGCGTGTAAACATCGTAGGTAATGTCCTCGAATGTATTTTCAAACGAAGTAGCCAAAATCTCATTGTAAATGGCTACCGGAAGTGATATTTGAATACTAAATTACAAAACAAATGAGGTCGGAAATTTTTTTTCCCGGATTGGTCTCCGCAATACCAACTTTTTATTTTATCAAAAATACAATAAAATCGGCAATGCGGCTACCTCAAAAGGGATGCGCGCGGGCCTGAGAACCAAGATTTCAATTTTATATGGCCTTATACAGTAAAACTTTTTCCATAAAGGATACATCCAGTCATAAGTTACAATTGATTTCTTGCCCTGGGTAAAAAAAAATTTATGTATAGTACCTTTATACATCAATATTTTTTTATTCAAGCTTTCTATGCATACACTATTGAGCTGTAATACACTGCTTGCGTTACTGCATATTTTTAATACACAGGCACCTGACGTTACTTATTTTTCTTTGAAGAAAAAAAAATATACACATACCTAATAATATACGTGTATATTTTTTTTTTATTAAAAGAAAAATAAGTAATGTCAGGTGCCTGTGTTTTAATACATTATTTCTAAACACATTGTAGGTTGGCAGATGAGGAGATTCTAAAGATTTGTGGGGGAATGACAGCACACAAGTAAGTTTTAGCTACGTCAAAATAGAGTTATCTTCCTTTGCACATCTTTTTCATTTTTTTTTTCCTTGGGGGGTGGGGGGGGGGTTATTCTGAGAAGTAGAAAAAAACGACTTTGGACAGGTAACATTTAATGGCAGGTGAATAATTAAATAATTAAGTATTTTAATGACAGGCAAACAGAAGACAGGGGTGTTCTGTTTGTTTATTTATTCCTTAAGTCATATGACTTATCAGATAACATAATTACAAAATACAGGATGTAAAGCACAGAATTAATATACATAAATGAAATATTTACATATACTTCTTTTAAGTTAATACTGCTTGTTGTATACAATATTTCCAACCAAACATAGAAAAAATACTCAGTTTACAGATGTAAATCTCTAAGTGCTTCTGCTTTTTAGAGGAATTTCCCTATATTACAAAGTTCACTCACATTTTCAGTTGATAATAATTGTAATAGTTTATACATGCTAGAAGACAGGGGTGTAAACTTTTCAATTATTCATAATTATTTTTTTTTTACTCATTACAGAGGAGCTAGGCATGGACTTAAATTGAATGGTAAACTAGATCGAATTCAGGAGCAAGAGCGCCTTCTATTGGAGAAGTGGAAAAGTAGAAAAGAAAAAAACAGAGAGTTAGACCAATCAAAATCAGTGTCTTATAATGCTGTGACAGTGAACTCTGTGAGTAAACCAGAAGATAATTTGTTATGTGGAGAAACCAAAAAGAAAAAGAAGAAGAGGAACAGGGAAAAAGGAAAAGACAATGGATTAGAGGAAGGAGTTTCTAACAAAGAAAAAAGTGATTTCAATGAATGTACCGAGAGTACTGAGAGGCAGATATGTGGGGAAACTGATGTAGTAGAAAAGAAGAAAAAGAAAAGAAAGAAGAAAATTGCAGAGTCTGAAAGTGAAAGTATGGAACTAAGCTGTGAAAGAGAAACTTCAAATGTAGCAAAGAGGACAAAAAAGAAAAAAAGTAGAAATTGAAATTTTTAATTTTTCAAAAATTATTTGCATTCTATAATTTTTATTTTATGTACATTGTTAATTATTTGTTAAATAATTTGAATAAATAAGTTAATATTACATCTCATTAAATATACCTTAAAATATGAATGCTCAAGCTCTAATCATTCAGATTTGAGCTGAATGTTAGTTTTTTTTAAAAAGTATGTTAAGGTCAAAAGGTCAAGGGGTCAAACTTAATGGAACCTTAGAGAAGACTTTGTCATGAGAGATATATACCTGTGAAATATAAATTAGAGCGAGCTCCAGAACCAATTGCTTATGAACCAAGGTTAAGAGGTCAATTTTTAGTGTCTTAAGAAGGTCATTTCATATATAAAATACATGAGCCTTCAAAAGTTATTGCAATGCTTAAAGGGTCAATCTCCAAGGTAAAGAGCCCAAATATGCTGGTACCCAAAGTGAGATCTTTCCTGTATGAATTTTAAGGGCGGATTCCGCCTGGAATTTGGGTGGAATTGAGCAGGAATTGGCAAATTCTGGGCGTACTTGAGGCGGAGACGGAATTTTGGAAAAGTTACGCCTCAGTAGAAGAGACGTCTTACAGGCGTAATTTCTAATTTCCGGCGTCAATTGGCAAGTTCAGATTTTCCGGGCATAAAAATGGCAGGAAAATAGAAACAAAAATTACGCCTGGAACTTTCTGGAGAAGTAAAAGCCTCTGATTGGTCAATTTAATTATCAATTAAGGGTCATTTCAGATAGGAGGTTAAGTTTGAATTTGATCATGAAGGAGGGAGTTTAGTGTGATTGAAACAGGAAATGCAGATATATCAATGTTAAGGCTTTTACACTTCTTCTGGATGACACAGTATCTGCTGGTAGGTGTGATAATTAATATCTGGTACCTATTTGAGTAAATTTGATTATGATAATGTACAATGATATTGAGTTATAACTTGTTGACCCTAAAATTACTTAAGATATTTGAGTTTCCTTGCACACATTCTGAGAAATAACAGTCTGATAGAGCTAACTAGGCTGCAGTGAGTCTCAAACTGTAAACTACTGACAAAGTAAATGAAGAACTGTATTGGGTAACCTAAAATGTTTCAGTATGATTATTGACGTGATAAAATGAACCCGTATTGTAAAAAGTTTAATTCTAAATACACACTCAATCATGGTGGTGTTTTAGTGTCCCTTACACAAAATTTATTAGTTATATATCTTTACTATGTTAATGACCTGTCATTATGTTTTCTTACAGTTCAAAAAGCTAAATTTTTAGCTTTAACATTGTAAATCATAATCTAAATGTTTTTCTTTGTTAGCATGGTAAATATATAGGTTTTTAGGTCACATAGTATTATGTAATAATAAGGACATTCCAGGCGTAATTCTATTCCAGGCGTCATTTTAGTTTCCAGGCGTAATTTTTTTCCGGGCGTCATTTATTTTTCCGGGCGTAGCTCATTTGCATTTTTCGCCTCAAATTCCTGCCACTTTCCTCTTGGTTTCCGCTTGGTTTACGCCCGGAACCTGTGTATCACCATATATGTAGAGAGACAAACTGACGCCCGGAATTCCTTCTCCAAGTACGCCTCAATATCCCCCCTATATTCCGGGCGGAACATTTCGTACAGGTTTTTACAAGGAATATATATCAGTGAAATATAAAAGCCTTTGAAGACAGTATGGACAAGGTTAGATTTTGCAGACCAACAGCTTTAAAAATGGACAAACGGAATTATATACCTTAGAACCTGTGGTAACAGCTAGGGCATAAAAACACGTACGCCAGGGGTATTTTGTACATGCATTCGTAGTATTGTCTACAGTCCCCTTTTGAGGTTTTTAGCACACCTGAGATGAAAGCTCAAAGTTAATTTTTCTCATCACCTGGTATTGGTGTCCGTTCGTCTGTCCTTCCGTCAATTTCTTCTCAAGAACCACTGAGCACAATTTAACTAAAAATTGTGCAAAGAATACCTGTGTGTATTTACATGTATATTAGATTTATTATCTAGATTTACAGTTGCAAAATTTTTCATCAAGAGCCTGCTTGGCATTCACAAAATAAACGATTGATTTTTCTTTAAGATAATGATCTATAGTGTTTTGCTAATATTTTAAGGATTAAGTTTTATCAAACACAATAAAGAAATAATACAGTACAGTCAAGAGAAAATATTTGTTTCAAGTAATGTTTCTGTCTTATATACGTACGTTCATGTATGAGTACATATATGAAATAGTTTTGAATTTTTATTGAAATTTCGCATTCTACATGTATGTATAAATCGTAATTACATGAATTGTACTTATATTTTTTGTTGAATTACCGTGTTGATATATGTGAATAAACTAAGAAACCACCATCATTTCCATCTTTGTATAAAAAATAAAATAGATTACATAAGTTTACAGCGAGGTCGATTCAAATCCATATCTACCCATAAACCATGGGAGATGTATTATTGTAAGTTTTTATACACAAAGCTATGTCGTTTTTCTTCCACTGTTTATCATACAAAGACTCAAGTAGTACATGTATTCCTAAATGCAACATATCCATACAAGTACAAGTTTGGTATTGATGGCGCTTCCTTATGAGGAACTGGATGCAAAAACTTTTACCTGTTCACTCATCCGTAAAACATTTGGTGGATTCACCATCCGAAGCTTATCTGGTAGTCCCAAGATACATTATCCATGCATGCATCCAGGTAGGACTGTTACGTGTATATACATGTAGTACTGTTACTTGGAGTTGGAACTATAAAAAAAAAAAAAAAAACATTGCAACCAAAATTATTTTTCCTAAAAGATAGGACTTTTTTGTAATTGAATTAAGAATTTTAGGGGGCCGACTGGGGTTTTTTGTGTGAAAACTACAATAGTGAAACTCTTTATTTTCATAACACATATAACTTACACTGACTCCCATGAACATGCCAAGTTTGGGGAAAATCTACCGTCCAGGTATTTTAAGGGACTCTCTCAAAATACGTATACTCAGGTACATTTACTATTTTATAGGATTATAAAGGAAAGTGCCATTTTTTGCATTTAAAATTTAAAGCAAATTCTACAAATACTACAATAGACTTTTTGCACAAACGATAATATATGATGAGTATACTGTAATGTACATTATATGTAAAAAACACAAAATTCTACCGTCTTGTTAATTTCCGGGGGTGGGGGGGGGGGGGTATGCCAAAAATTAACGAATTTTCCTGTTTGTATAGAGTACTACCAAATATGATGTATACAAAGGATTAAGACAAAAAATATAACGAAAATGACGGAGAGATTCTAAAATTTCTATGTAATATATTTAAAGAGTATATGTTTAATTACTTTTTCTTTTATAACATTTCATTACCCCCTCTTTTAGAGCTTCACGTTATTATAACCTCAAAAACACACTTTATATTACGATGTCAAACTACCTATCACTTGAAAAATCGTTTTAAAATCATTTATATGAAATTTTAAATGATTTTGTCAACCTGTGATTTCTTATTTATTTTTTAAGTAAGTGAAAAAATTGCTTAAAAGCAGTAAATACGCTTCATTTCACTATGATGCGCGAAATATTGCGCAATGGAAACCCTAGTCGATCCCCTTAAATAATAACCTTTTATTGTTAAAGTCAATCTAACTATAGAGACCTGAGGTTATTCAACTTGAAAATCGGTGAAAAATTAATTTTGCACGCATGTTTATCTAAACTCAGTTTCTTCTTCCTCTTGGCTCAGAGTTGTCCAATTATTAGCTTTAAATATATTAATGAATTCTTTTTTTAAATGCAAACATAAATTAATATTCTTTAGTAAATTTACCGTTTTTGAGCATTTTTCATAGTATAGAAAAATACATAAATAAAACAATTAATGACATGAAATTCAAAACGTACTCAGCATAGTTCAATTTTTATATTCTAAAATTGAAAAATAATACATTTTTGAATATAGGTGATGTAAATGTTAGCTGCATAAAATATAAATTGAAGTTAGACACATGCATCATCTATATTCAAAAATGTATTATGTATCTCGTAATTTAGAAAGGGTTCTAAAAAAAAAAAGGAACTGTCGCTTTTTGATTAACGACTTAATATATTAAATATCTATCTATTTTTACAGATTCACTTTTGGAAGAAAATATGTTTAGAAAACCTTTAACAATCTTTTCAATGTTTAGAAAACCTTTAATTCTGAATAACTTCTCCCACCCTAATCACCATACACCAACACTTAAACTTATATATGTATAGAGCAGCCCGGTCCTCCGGGCTGCAATAAGGCAGGGTTGTAAATATAAAGATTTTTAAGTATTTTTTTAATCAGATAATACCATGGGGAATAATTTTTTATTAATTTGTTAATTAACATTTTTTTAATCAGATAATAAATAATGTAATTTTTATCAATTTGTTCATTATCACGACCAAATACATGTACCGGTATCACATCTAGATATATATTTTAAGGTACTCCGATCCTCAGGTTCTGAAAATCAGGCATTATTAAACTAACTGAAAATGGTCACAAAAATGTCTGAATTCTCAAAGTTATGTGTTAAATTGCCCACGATATAATTCTTCAAACTTCATATTTAAAGTTAATTAATCACATTATGTAAGGAAATTTAATTAGTAAATCTCAAATAGATTTTTAGGAAATGCGAATAAAATCACCCACTATGCATTTTCTAATTCATTACTTTTTATAAGACATGTCTGAGAACGTCAAAGAACCTATATGAGGAGCATAAATGAAAATTGTTGCATGAAAAGGTGCAATTTTCAAACTTCATTTTGGAACTTTTTGAATTTAATTATAAATTTAACAGTTATCCTTCCTGGCTGAGGATCGGAGTACCTTAAATCTCAACAGATCTATGTTTTAGAGTAGTAAATTAAAATTACCGGATTATATCATGAACTTTTTATCCAGAGAGAACATGAACAGTTGGTAAAAGTTTAATTACTGTATTTTAAAACCCCCGAAATTTTTAATGTTTACGGCAATTTAAGTGTTAACAATTCCACAAACTGTTGTTTGAATTGTCAGATTATTTGAAATTTTATCGTCACTAAAATCTTAGATCCACCACGGATATATTTAAAAACATGACGGAAGCGCAGTAACACGCGTGCGTGTTGACCATTTCCGCTATAATGTCAGGCGATTGAGAGAGAACAACAATCAATAGGCCTAGAGTAAATTTTAAAAATGTGAAACTTCCCAGAATTTAAAAACCTTAATATTCCTAAAAAAGAGTATGTAACCAAGCGGATCACTCCAAAATATCTCTCAAAGAAAATCGTAAACCTAAGACAGGGAAAAAAAATTAGCCGAAATCAGACTGGGTGTTCCTGAACTGAAATTTTGGGGATGGCGACGAGTGACGGGTCAACCCTAGCAGGTGGGAAGCACGACCCCGAGCCGTCCACGTCAATGGCTGAAGACAGCGGTAAGTGAATGAAGTTATGGAGGGGGAAGTTACTTTCATGTAGATGTGCCTTTGGTCGCTTTGTTTCAAAGTGGCGGGTGGAGTTCAAAATGAGTAAATTCTTTAAGGAAGAAGAGGTTTAAAAAAGGGAATTCCATGTGGGGTGTTAATTGTGTGATCCGCCTCTTATGTGATGTTTGCAACCTTTTTATAGCATTCATAATTTATACCTGAAGAAAGTGGAGATTGTGTTATGTAAAGCGATTCAGCATGCATATAGAGTATTTCCTTTTCATTATCGAGAAGTGTGGTACATGTAGAAGCCAATATTGAGGGTGGGTTGGGATAACTGCATATTTTAGATTTCTTTTCAAGTCTCAAGTTGACAGAACAATTAGGCACTTTGTGATATTGATGACTCCATGATTTTTTTTAATAGTGCCCCACCCTAAACAAAAATTTTTATCAACCCAAATTATTATGCATGATTATGGGTTGATCCTCGATAAATTCACGGTTGATAAGTCCATTTGATCATAATTTTAAAAATTCCCATTAACTTGGTAATGGATTTTGCATGTCAATCACATTTTCAAACGTAAAGCTTTGAATTTGCAATGTGTGCTGCATTTTAAATAAAAAGTAATTGTTCAGGGCTACTTCTATTTAATGGAAAAAAATAATCAGTAATCAATGCCTAGACGACCCTTGGTCCCCCACCCTATGAACTTTCATTTCCTGAATTTCCCAATGCAAAATTATTGTTTGTAAATAATATTGATAATTATCTGAAGACAGATCATATAGCCTGTATTATCCGTAAAAAAAATCACACTTTATCATGATTAAACTAAACTTATTTAAATTCGTATAATATCTGAAGACCGATCATTTAACTGTTATTATCTTTGAAATATATCAGACTTAATCATCATTGAACATGTTAATTCTTTCATTCTTGAATTGAACATGTTGATCAAAAGTCAGTTAAAGAAAGAATCTAATTCAGTGTGTATGTTCATTATAGATGATTCCAATGAAGAGTCTGGGAAAGGATTGGACCATGCAGAGGTCAGTAACTATATTACAAGGTCAAGAGGTCAAAGGATAAAAGTTCAACAGATTATTTCTTCAAGTTCACAAATCATTATGTAACTTTTAAATATGAAGCCCTGAACACAGGGAAATTTTTAAAAATCAGTCCTTCCAATTTTATTTAAAACATGTAAATTATAAAGAAAATAAACTGCTCAAAATATTTTATATCATGATGATACACAGGTATAAGATTATTTTATTGCGAAATGTTACAATATTTTGGCATCAAGACACAGTGTATAGGAATGTATTGGTTTATATATTGTTGCAGCCCTAGTACATGTGTATAGTAATCACTGTAATTATTTAAACAATAAAAGGCCCAAGTGAACGGAAGCCCATTTAGGACCTATCAAAAAATATTTTTGAAATCGTTATAAAGATTTTTAGAATTCGTTATAACGAATTTAATTTGTTATAACAGATTTTTAGAATTCGTTATAACGAATTAAATTTGTTATAACAGATTTTTAGAATTCGTTATAACGAATTTAATTTGTTATAACAGATTCATTGAATTTGTTATAACGAATTTAGTTTGTTATTACAGATTCATTGAATTCGTTATAATGAATTCAATCTGTTATTACAGATTTATTGAATTCGTTATAACAAATTTAATCTGTTATTACAGATTTGTTGAATTCGTTATAACCAATTCAAGAATTTGGTTATAACGCAAAAATGTTACAATTTTTCGTTATAACGAATGTATAAATCTGTAATAACGGTTTATAATTCGTTATAACGAATTCAATAAATCTGTAATATCAAATTAAATTCATTATAACGAATTCAATGAATCTGTTATAACAAATTAAATTCGTTATAACGAATTCAATGAATCTGTTTTAACAAATTAAATTCGTTATAAAGAATTCAATGAATCTGTTATAACAAATGAAATTCGTTATAACGAATTCTAAAAATCGTTATAACGAATTCAGAAATATTTTTGATAGGTCCTAAATGGGCTTCCGTACACGTGGGTTTAATACATAAATTTTTTCTGCAATAGCTGTGATGTTATTTTTCATACTAACAACCAAAGGAAGGCATTCTATTGTTTACATTTATTCATTCTGAATAAATCATCATTTAAAGTAGGATTAAAAAGATAACTTACTGTATTATTGATATGTACATCATAGTAAGTTTCCTTGATGGAACAGCCACTGATCAAGAAATCTGTACAGGTGACATGCCAAGTGTTGTTCATGAACTGATAAACGGCAATAGTTTTCTAAGAAATAAAAAAAAAGTATTCAGTAGATGTAAAGATGAATCTACATGTATGATGTGTTTGTTTACTAGCTGTGTACACCATAAGTATGTTTTGCTGCTATCTGATCTATCACACAAAAACGAGAGGAAGAAATTCTAAATGTCTGTGGAAACTTAATATGCATAGTACTACTAAGCACTAGATTTGTAAATAAGATTAAAAAGAAAAATTCAGTTTTAATTGTTGTTTCCTTATAGATGGGAAGTGGAAAGGCTGCCAAGTCAAAAGACAAGATAGGACACAGGAGGGTGGACAAAACAGGAGCTGTAACGTATAAAAAGGTAATGAATTGTAATACATTATTACATTGTAATATAATTAGATCTATTTAAGGAATGAAGCTTATTTCAGTTTATGTTATATGATATAACAATTAAACATAACTTGGGGCAGGGGGCAGTTTACTCTTTATAAACAGTGAAGCGATTTGGAGTGGGGGGGGGGGGGGCAGAGACCATAGATTCATTGACTAAAAAATTAAGGTTGGATGTGTGTTGTGGGGAGGGGTGGGGATGGGAGGGGCTCTACAATGATGGAACAGAAAAATGCTTTGATAAGAAAATATAAGGTACTATTATCAGGGATTTTCCACTACCCCGTGTAGGGCCGAATATGGGCCCCATTCCCAATTGCAAAACCCCTCCCTTTTTCCCAAAAATGAACTGCCTATGTTCAATTTTTCAAAGAAGAAGAACTCAAGTAGGTAACTTGGACATAATTCACAAAATGCAAACATGTTTAGGTTTGGAAATTTGAATGAAATGAACAAAATTTTGAAGAATCTTGGGTAAAACTTTATTATAATGATCAATTCTCTGATTCATATTTCTGAATAACTAAGTAAAAGATAAATTTTTATGTATCTTAAGTATTTATTTCTTGAAAAACATCATACAATAAAATTTCCCAATAAGTGATAAAATCTCGTAAAATTCCCAATTCCAAGGGCCTGGGCCCCATTCCCAAAAGTGAGTGGAAAATCCCTGTGTCAGTATTATACCTCATTATAATTATCTACACAACACGTTAACTGATTGGTTCTAGATTATCACGTGACCGGGCCACAAATCTTCATGTTTCACGGTCGTCGGCATGCTTTTCATCATATTCCACCTCTTGGGATACCTAGTGCATTTTCCCGCAATATACATGATATAGTTATCGTTCATTGAAAGAAAACTCGGAGAGTAGTAGACATCACAATAGCCTGGTTTACGTCACAAAATTGCTGATTAGCGCAGTCTATGCGAAAGTCACCGGACCGTCGGTTTTTACCGGTAAAATTAAGTTCGGGTCGGTAAAAAATTTCAGTATATAGGACCAAATGTCCGATAAAAAATAAGGCAAAATAAATCTAAATTAAGAGGTACACATGGTCCAATTCCCCACAAATATCCTTTATTTGACCAATTTAGCAGTAATACCTGAATAATTTTTATGTATTACAACCCTGTCATGATCGTTTTTATTCTAATTCGAATTTCCTCTGTCAAGGGTTAGATATCTTTAGATAGCTCATACGTAGATTCGGTTGGGAAATTATTTTCAAATGATCATTGTACTTGAGTTAAGTTGTTTCAGGAAAAATAGATATGCATTGAAATAAAAAGGTGCATATTAAATTTAAGAAGATCTGATACAGTGTACGAGGGTTGTCCCGTAAAATCGTGGACAAGTTGTCTAGTGTAAAAAATAAACATCGCTGCGTTCTGAAATTTTCACTATTATTTAGTACATATTTTAGTAATATACTCAGTAAATTTCAGATAAATATATGCATAAATAAACAAATTATGTGATTTTATGGCATGTATTGTATCACCTTACGGCGCATGGATTATAACGTCAAAGTGTCTGAAACAGCGTCACGTTCTATCTTTATGAAAATGAAGTTGGATGAGTCCGACTTAATCAAATTTAGGAATTTCATTGATACACATTCTTTAGTCTCCATAAACAGATAAACAGTCGAAGAACCAATTGGCACCCTCACTCGATCTTCTGAAGATTTATCAGTAAGTTACGGACACCATCATTCAACCAATAGAAAATCTCATATCGGCGGTCTACTGTGACAGCGTGTTTTGCTATTACAGTAGGAGTTTGTCCATATGTTTTTGTACTCCCCAGGGACTCGATCAAAAAAGACTTCTCTACGAAAACTCCTTTTTCATTTGTATACTTAAGATATGGTGATATTTTTTATAATCTTTTTTCTTCTGTGATCATTTCAAGTCTCTAAAGGTGTCATTACAACATCGAATTAAAACGGAACTGCTCTCCGGTGCGCCGTAACGTCATAAAACGTCGCCATTTTTCGTGTGTTGTGTTTACCACTTTCCCATTTCGAATGCTCGAGAAACTGCCAAAAATTAACCAAATGCCTTAAAATTTTTACAAAGACTACAAAATTGATTGTGGAATCGAATTAGGATAATTTTAATCCAAATCTTATGTATTCAAAACTTTTATTTTGAATTCAAACTTGTGTATTCTTTAATAAAACCTTGGTTTTTTGTCCGTGCGCCGTAGGACAATACCCCATGCACATTCAAGCATAATAAAATCTTTATTTTTGACTATATTTTATCAAAAAAATTATCATGCACTTAAATATGATAAATAAACGTTTACTGAAATTTTCAGCTTAATGCGCCCATTACTTTTCGAGAAAAACGCTTTGTCCACGATTTTACGGGACAACCCTCGTATGTTGTATAAGTCAAAAATGAAGAAAAAAATGCATGCAATTGTAAATAGATACCTTTTAGTTTTACAAAGGAGAATTATAAATAGTTAACTTGTCCATTTCACTCTGAATTTATTTAAGGTTAAATTTCACAGTGAGAATTAACCCCATCCCATGCACCCTCTCAATCTCAGTATCATTATGATGTATGGATTTAAAGAAAAAAAAGTCGGTCTGGTAAGAAATTGCTTGGTCTGGTAAAAATTTTATTTTTACCAGACATTTTGTCCTGTAAAAATTTTAAACTTTCGCGTAGACTGTTAGCGGTGTTTTTCCCTAAGAAACTGCTATCGGCCAAATTGACCACTTCAATTGACAAAAATGTTGCTCTGAAATAAAAATTTGCTGTTAGATCCACAGAGATTCTGTTCATAAACCTCAGCCCCTAGCCTGTTACAACTGATCTCTAACCCTTTACTTAAAAATAAAGGAAAAACACTGATTAGTGATGTATCAAAAGGTTGCAGTAAATTTACGTTAAAATGAAAGTTAATTTGAGAGAAAATATAAGGTAGTGTTCCTACTAGCTTAGATAACTCACATAATTTAGAACAAGATATTACTCTGACACTGTATTCCATTGATCAATTGTCTTAATACAATAATGTAGCTTGTTAAATCATCTTTGCATGTTCAGCATCTTCATGCAGGAGTAAAAGTAAATGAATGTGTCCAAATTTGACACATTGATCAGTGTTAAGGAATTTAAAAAGATACAATAATTAAGAAATCTTGAAATTAATAAGAATTTCTCTTTTTTTTTGACCATATTGCATGTAATATGTATGTCATTTTTTCATGTTGTTATTTCTGAATCTTCATTATCTATGATTGTAAATAAAATACTTTGGATGGTTAACCAAAATTAAGGAGAGGCTCATTGCAAAATTACCTGATATGATTAAAGCTTGATAAGTATAGAATGCCTATATAAGTATACATGTATGTACTACAAATAAAAATAATTGTGCCTTAATCATGTTAATATACAGTATTTGAATGATATTGATTTAGTAAATGTCACATCTTTATAAATAACATTCGGTTGATGGATTTAGGAGTAGCATTTGAGGCTACTACCTGCAACTTATTACAATGATTATAGATTCAATGCTGAAATGAAAAAAAGGAGAAAAAAAATGAACCCCAGTAGGAAGCCATATTGATTTTATAGGCTCAGCTTCCTTAACTAGCTTTAAGGCCGTGAGTGACAAATAGTGATGGGTATAAGAGAAAGATTACTTCAGATTAGTTACACACGGTAGAAGGATCCTTCGTTTAGGTTCATTGGGACCTGGCCAAGAATCACCTGAAGTTAAAAGGTGAAACTATGATGAACAATGGGTTTTGATATTAGGGATGTGAAAGATTAAAATAAATATAAATTGATGTGTTAGTTGTCTCTTTGGGGGAAAGTAATTCAGTCTGTGCACACACATCATCTGCTTTGAAGATGTTGAATTTTTAAAAAGTAGCTGATTTTGCTTATTTTTTCAGTTTTAATATATGTGATCAATTTGTGATTGTTTGTAAAATTATGAACGATTAGCTCAATCATAAAATGTGTAACTTCTGTCTGCATACTACAACATATGCTAATATGAAATGACTTTAAGGCATAAATTATTCTATAGGTTGACCTTTCATTTCATACTCATTTTGCTTAATCACATCTGAAAAAGCCCCACAAAGCATCCCTCAGCATGAAGGTTATGGAGATAACGAACTGTATTCAATATCAAAGTCCATAGTAAATAAACAAATTTTTTTTTGATTTTCACTTGGTGCAGTGGTTAGATTTTTTTTTACTTAAAGTTAGATAAGTTGAATGCTAACAATATGGGCTCAAATCCTGCCCAGGAAAACAGAGGCCTTTCTTTTGGATATGACAATATAAACTGAGTTCCCATGTCCAAACAGATACTTGCATGAATATTCTATCAGTACTCAGCTAGTGGCAAGGTACAGGTCAGATTCTGCTAACTTCCACTAATCATGGTGGAGTTTCAAAACATCATTGAATAAGAAATTCACAAATGGGACATAAAGGAAACTAATTAAGCACTCCAATTACTGTAGATTTCTGTATAACATTCATGAGATAAAATTTTTCTAGACGTTTGAATTTTAAGAATCATGTTTAACATCGCTGAAATACAACAATGACAATCTTTTGGATCAACAATTCCTTCTCTGAAGATGAAGCTCAAAATTCCTGCTATAGCAATATTTAGCTTAGAACTATGAGTTAGAACTATGAGTCATTTCATTGAAAAACTTATGAATCAAGACATCTCAGGATTCAGGGTAAAATATATTGGAAGAATATGTGTTTAGGACTTAATTCCAAGTCACTTCAACTATGGTATTCAAGATATCAATTATTGATATATCGAAGTACAGTAAAACTGGGTTATAACGAAGTCACTAGGACTTATAAAATTACTTTGCTGTATCCATACTTTGTTATATCCACACAAGGAATTCGTTAAATTTATATAGATGGGGATCCAGTATGACTTCGCTGTATCCATGAATTCGCAATATCCGTGTTCATATTAAACGAGTTTTACTGTATTGCTGTACTTGATTAAAATTAGGCATCTATCATATCTATAGCATTGTCTGTGTATTTTGTAGAGGTCCACTTCGGAGCTGATGGCGGCTATACAGCTAGGCATTGGTCAGAGTGTTGGCGGACTCTCCTCAAAACCTGAAAGAGATCTCCTTATGCAGGATTTTGCCGTCATTGAAAGCGTGTTTTTTCCATCGTAAGTTCTACTGAATCATATGAACTGTATATATATCTGATTATATTATTTTTCCCTTGTAACAGGAAGCCATTGTAAATCTGTTCTCATTTTGGTTATCATATTATCACTAACTTGTTATTATATAAAAAATTCAATTTTCACCATATATTATGAAATGATTGTACATGTACATGATGTACACACCAAATAAAATATTTTTACAGAAACCATGGTAACTAACACTTGTGATACAGTATCTGTTCAAGTTGCAATTATAATAGTTACTGTAAACATATAACAGTGTATAAAATTTGGATGTGTATTCTTTTTATTGCTTTTGATGGAAAGAAACCTCATTTTATTCAAGTACAACGCTTAATTCTTGCACACATATATATAAATAATACAGAATATTAGGAACCGCAGTAACTCAAATTGACACTAACATGTTCAGAAGTCAATTTTTGCCAAATATTGTACACGCATAATATAATATATTTGCAGTAATTTGAAGTTTGTAAACTTACTGTGACAATAAAATTTGAATTTAGAGAGCATTTCTTAACAGTTATATTAACTTTTCCTTTTCCAGAGAGGGGAGTAACCTGACCCCGGCTCATCACTGTAGTGACTTTCGTTTTAAGACCTACGCTCCCATCGCATTTCGATATTTTCGGGAACTGTTCTCTATTCAGACAGATGATTTTCTGGTAAGTTTAAGGGCCTTAGGGGTGACCAAGATATGGCATAATCAATTTTTTTGATATTTTAAGTAGAGTTAAACTTGTCTAATCCCGAATAATGTAAAATCTGAAAACTTTTTAATTTGATGTTAAAGTTCTTTTCATTTTGATTTTAAAAATATTGATTTTTTTTAGCTTTCGCTATGTGATCAACCAATGAAAGAGCTGTCTAACCCAGGGGCAAGTGGCAGCATCTTTTACCTGAGCGAGGATGATGAATTCATCATAAAAACAGTACAACACAAAGAGGCCGACTTTTTACAGAAACTGTTGCCTGGCTACTACATGGTAAGAGACAGCCAATCAAGATTGACCATTTTTTTGAACTTATCAGCCAATGAAAGCCATGTTTGGTAACACACTAATCAGAATCACTCAGCAGAGAGTAAACAAAAATAGGTGTTCACCTCATTCCATCAAATCAAAATTAACGTTGCATCAAATTGCACCAGATTTCTTATCAGAACCAGTTAAATAAAAATTTGTCAATACTGTATGCTAACTTTTATTCATATGCTATAAGTAATTGGAAGTCTCATATCATTCTTTTTCTCTCAGTAACTGCTAACCATGGACTTTTATGTTTAATATGTTGAATGCTTCCTACTTGCAAAAGTAAAAAGTCAAAGATTACATTTAAATTGAAAAATCCAGAAGAAAAGGTTTTCGCAAATGCTACTTGATTTACAGTACTGTAATATTTTGATAAGCAACACTAAACAAATAGCCCTAGATTCTGCTTAGGTTCAAAAACTTAATTTTTCTTGTTTGTGTGTTTTGTACTTGGTCAATAATGGGATCCACATGATTCGAGTGTCCTTGGTGAGAACTGAACCATTATACACTGTTATCTCTGGTATTGCCGTGATGTGAACAAATTCTGAGAATAAGAACATGGGCGGATACTTTGTGAAAAGGCCCTAATTAGAAATGAAACTGTAAACTAACTTTTATTTATACCTGAAAAATACTGGCTAGTTTTGTCATCTTTTATTTACTGGTGAATATTTTTACAAGCGAGTTATTTATTTAGTTTTGTTTACCTCGGTGGCAATTATCATCATGATCATGATATCATTTTAAAATTGATGATTAGTGAATGAAACGTTGTGAATAGTAGATGGTTTACAGTATTGCATGTGGAATAGATTGATATTTCTCTTCATTCAAACAAATCCTGGCAGGCAGTAGAAAGTGTAATACCGTATACAAGCAGAATTTTAAGTGAGGATTTAATTTTGGCATTATTAGCGAGGGCGTTGAGATTGCTAAAATTTCATATCGCTCAAAATTAATTTACGTTTTATTTGTAATAGCTTCTTTAGTGAACATTTTAAAATCACTAAACTTGCATCTCGCTAAAAATAAAACAACTATTATTTGGGAGAAATCGCTAAATTTGCGTCTCGCTAAATTTCCACTTATAAAGTAATTATTACCTTGTATCTTTTATTGTATATATATAAAGCATGCACCCAATAAGCTTGTAACAATTATTTCATTGGATTAGAATAGCATCACATACTAATACCATTATAAATTATAAATAATTGTTGGAAATAAAGTGAAATGTGTACTGTAAACCAACTTTTATTCACCTGCAAGTTTCATAGATTTTTACCATGTTCATTTGGAAAAATATTTCTATGCCACTTTTTTTTTATTTGATTGTGTATAAATGAAGTATGAATTTTAAATTTTATAAAAGGAGACATATTGAAGAAAAAATTGCATGGATTTAAAAAGAACAAAAATTACAAACACAAGTTTTTGCAAATAAAAGTTGGTTTACAGTACCCAGCAATTAGATGAATGATCAAGGTGAATCATATCTATGTAGACAGAGTCAGTTGAACATGTTGAAAAAAAAAAATTCTGTATTTATTTAATGAATCCGCTTATGTATTTATTCAGTAAACTTTATTGTGCAAGTGTTGTGGAAACCAATAACATAACCAGTCAAATGATAAAATTTATACTGTACCTGAATATACTCCATGAGACTTCATCAATAAGAGTATACTGTTTACTTGAGATGTATATCTGTAGACATAGTTGCTCTGTTATTCTTATTAACCAATGATATAAAAAATCTCTCCTAATTCTCTTTCATTCACAAGTACTTGTATTTGGAATGGTTTTGTTAGATATATGTCTTTTTCTTCTAATAAGTGTCTTTAAATTTTTCTATACTTTCAAAAATCAGGGGGGAAGAGAGTAAAGAAATTGTTTTTAACTTCTTGAAGGTGTAATATTTTATAGTATTCTTGAACTGTAGTGTTAATCACAGCAGAGTTCTTCACATGTTAAAGTGTCATACGTATAAACATCATGATAAAAACTGTTGTTATGCAGTGGATGTATTATTTAAACTAGCTGTGAAATACTGTAATTCGTTTTAATTCCACGGTGTTAAAATTTCACGATATCTCAAAAAGTACCAATAGCGACGGTTTTAACTTCAGATGCAAGAAATTAATTCAAAATTTCGTATCAGCATTTAAACGTTTTTAAAAACTAATAATAACGTTCACAATGGGTTTAATTTCACTGGAAAATGATATATTGCAAATATAGGGAAATTAAAACCACCGTGATTATTTGCCAATCTACAGTAGTTTACTCTATATATAATCATGATAATGCTACATGTACAGACTATATATGCATGAAGAAGTACTAATTTATATTTAATATGTTGAATGGTGAATAAATAAATCATAAAAGAAAAATGTTTGAGGATTAAAAAAAACAGACTTCTTTCACTTCTGTAATGTTTTTGCCTCCTTAGGACTACTTTCCTTTCTGTACTGTATATAGAGATATTAAGTTAGAAATTTCCCTGATAAAAATTGAAAAGAGTTTCAGTCTAAGATTGATTTTCAAAATCAAAGTGATAAGATGGTTTCTAGCCTTGATCAAGAAAAATAAGTTCTAGATTTGACGAAGACAATAATTTGTTTTCAGCTTGAATCAAGACAAAAACCATATTCATACTTTGATTCAGACAATAGTCAGTTTCCAGCTATGATCAAGACAAAAGTCAGGTTCTAGCATGTATAAATACCTTTTGTTGGCTCAAAGTTCCTCAGTGTTCTTTCCTCTCCTCAATGAATAAAACATGAAAAGTATCCTTGCAGTTATTCAATGTATAAAGAACCTGCTTTACTTGGAAATTATGACTAACCCCCCCCCTCCCAGTTTTAATATTCTGCATATGATTGTTGCAGAGAACAAATTTGATTGCCCATGAACAATGTGTGTTGGGTGTTGTCAGGATTTCATTTTTTCCAATAAATGTAGCTAAAGATAAGGAGTAAAAATATTAATTTTCTTGGAAAGGAGGTGTCCGATTTGATGTAGATATGTATCTGAGAGTTCTTTAATGTTAAAATCAGCAGCTGCAATATAAGAATACATTCTAAGGTAACATTATATTATCATGATTATTGTTAGTAATAGCTATTATTCCTTTCTTTTTGTTTTTCAGAATTTAAACCAAAATCCAAGAACATTGCTTCCAAAATTCTATGGATTCTATTGCTACCAGGTAAGGCAAAAGCTACATACAATACACAAAGAGTGTTTGTTGAATTAATTTTTTCTTATTTTTGATGGAGTCAGTTTAAATTTGGAATGGTGTTGATCACTGAAAAAGAAACAGCACCTGTGTTTTCAAAAGAAATGAAAAGTTTGATACACATACTGTAATATTTTACATGCTGGACACATAAAAAATGATTTTTTTTTTTTTTTCAGTGTGGAGGCAAAAATATTCGATTTGTTGTCATGAATAATCTTCTACCTTCTTCTGTCAAACTTCATGAGAAGTATGACTTGAAAGGAAGTACATATAAAAGAAAAGCCTCAAAGGCCGAGAGAAAAAAGTCCAGTCCAACATTAAAGGACCTGGATTTTATGAACAATAACCCAGAGGGAATCCTGCTGGAGAAAGATAAATATGATGCTCTCATTAAAACCATACAGAGAGATTGTAGGGTAAGGCAAAATATAAGGCCAGTACTATCAGGCCTTTGATTATTTATTTATAAGTTCTGTCAAGTATAAGTGCAGTACTAACAGGCCTTTGATTCATACATGTTAACTCTACCAATTTAGGCGGGAGTCTACTGCTTTTTTTACTCCATCTCCCGCCTACCGATTCAATTCAGAAATCTACCACTTTCTACAAAAGTTGCATTTAAAGTATTTTTGGTTCGCTTGGGTATCCATTTTTGAAGCCACTTCTCATAAAATCTCGTTAGATATCGCTTATTTTGACCCGGAAGCATACAAACACATTTTTTTTTATGGATTTGTACATAGATTTCAAGCGCGTATTAGACAATGACAACAGCACAAGATTACCAGTGATTACATTGGTTACGATAAATTTCGTCAACATCACTCCCACGAAAAAAAAGATACAGCATTTTAGAATTGGATGAAAACGTTTGACATCTTCTATAAAAGCACAGAAGCTCACAGTTTTATCAATAGAGTCAATAGAAATCACTCGATTGACCAAGCCATGCAGCACATCTATACTTTTGTTTTCAATCGTTTGAAATCTGATTTGTATAACAAAAGTTAGGAACTTGTTTTAGATCTAGATTAAACCATGTCGTCATTTGTTGTGTTTGACAACTGCATGAACATTCAGAATCATTGTTTCTAGGCTATATCAGCAAAGATAGCACTCTTCAAAGGGCTAAGCCAATCAAAGCAAAATGATGAACATAAAAAACATTTGAATTTGTACAATTTATGTCAAACTTAAGGTGTTTCTGTCTTCTTCTTTGCAGTTGATATTTAAGATTAATTATTTGTAGTTTTCATTTAAGGCCATACATGTATATTACATGAAATACTGTAAACGTATTACATTTGGCTGTGTATTCTTTTTAGCGCTTTTGGCGGAAAGGAACTTCCAGCTAATTTAAGTACAATGCTAAATGTCTTGCACATATATACATAAATAAGAACATGAAAAATGCGCTAAATCAAATCCACGCTAATCTGTTCAAAAAGCATTTTCTGCCAAATATCGTACACCCTAAATATAATACATTTACAGTATATCAATAACCCAAGCGTAAAACAACGCGCGCGCAATGCTACCGCTTTTGAGGTCTGAATCTCCCTATTTTTCATCACAATAGGTTAACATGTATGTTTGATTATTTTATCTAAAAAAAAGAAGAAGTATGTGAAAATCAATAAGATTGACTGTATATTTTATTTGTTTGACTTATTTTTTTGTTAACCTAAAATTTGTATGTAAAAAATGGAGCATAATTGCTGCTTTGACAAGAAATTGACAAAAGAATGGGAAAACATTAAGTTTACTTACATGTCATCATTACTGTAGATTCCTTATTTTTCGCGAGTACTTTTTATGGCGATCTGGCTCTTGACCTTCAAATCGCGAGAATTATAAATCGCGAATGGACCGTTGATCAACAGACTTTACATATATTTCAGCACCATAAAAATAAAAGCGAGTAATATTTTTTCGCGAATGATGCTTCTCGCCAAATTATGCGGAAATTTATTCCTCGCGTATAATTAGGAATCTACAGTATAACAATATTCATTAATAATTATTCAATATCACTTTTTTATGCAGGTTTTAGAAAGTTTCAAGATCATGGACTACAGCATGTTACTTGGAATTTATAATATTGACATTGCTGCCCAAGAGGTAAGTAAAATTTGGGTCAGGTGAGATTCTTTGTTTTTCTTTTTGTGATTTGTATGTCAACTGCTTTTTAGGTCAGCAGAGATTTGTAAAAACTGTAATATTCGCACAGACTTAAACACATCCACGACAGGGAGTTAAAGAGAAAATATAAATGAAATTTCATTAATTTATAAAAAAAAAATGTTTATTTTATTGATGTTAAAATTAAATGATTTTTCATTGGACTAAACAATGCTTTATTTTATTATAGAGGAAGAAAGAAAGGCCCTCATTCAGCAGGTCAGCCAATCCTGACGTTTCGGCTATGTCGGACTACCCCCCTCAGATGACCTCTGACCCGGGACAAGAATCAGGTGGTCGCACGCCCCGCGCAGGTGCTTCCTACTAATAAAACTCACGCAAAACTAAGCAGGGTGTTTATACTCAAAACTCAGCAGGGTGTTTATACTCAAAACTCACTGGGGTGTTTATACTCAAAACTCACTGGGGTGTTAATTGAACTCTCACAAGCTAATATATTAGTTGTTGTGCCATGTTTCTCAATTCAATGGGTCAAATGTTCAGGACCAAACTCTTCAGTGGCTAATGTTGTGACCTTGTTCCATGTTTAGTCTAAAGGTCAAGGGGTTAGGATTCAGTGTTCTAAATATACAGGATAACACATCAATTGTTGAAATTGATTTAAAATATTGGAAAAAAGGGGAGTGGGTGAATTAGTGGAAAAAAATTTAAATGCACTTTTGAATCAACTTGAAATTTTTGGATTTTGCTGCAAATCAAAAGTCAAATATCACATAAAATGAATATGAATAAATGAAAAACTAAAGGAACTGCCTAGGTTTAAACATACTTTTGTATACTTTGAACATTAAAAATGATTATATATAATATGCACTGCATATATTATTAGTGTTTCATGTAATAATCTTGGTGGCTGGTATACTAGCAGTGTAGATATTAAAAACTAATATTTTTACTTTGTGTATTTAAAATAATTATATACAATATGCACAGCATAAATTATTAGTGTTACATTTAATAATCTTGGTGGTTGGTATACTAGCAATGCAAATTTTAAAAACATAAATATTTCATCCAATTTGGGTTTTTTTTCTGTTTAAGAAGAACTTCTCAGAAAAAAAATATATCTGAGAAATGGATTTATGCAAAATAAAAATGAACATGCTGATAGCAAGCTTTCCTAATTATTGCTTGTATTAAAATAACATTTTATAAAATAGATTGATAAGATAAAACAAAATTTAGATAGAATTTTCATAATTTTATTTAATGACAACATGCTAATTTGTATATTTTGAAGGCTTAGCTCCACAGCGAACTAAATCTATAAAGACTCGAGTGGCCCAGTACACCACTCCTATGGAATCCATCACAGCCAAAGCCACAGAGTCAGACGAAGAGGACCAGGAGGAGGACGAAGAAATCCCGTAAGGACATGCCCATTTCTCTGTGGGCAGAAACCCATTTTTTTTATGGGCACATGCAGAGCTGCCAACCCTTACGATTTTGGCGTAAGGCGTACGAAATCAGCGTCAAAAATACACCTTACGATTTCTCTATATTCTTCCGATTTCAGTTCAAAGTTTGTAATACTGGTATTTACATAGCTGGCAGTCACATTCATGTCAATGTTTTAAAGTAAACAAAATGGAAACATGCCTAAGATTGCATGTCCACTTACAAAACACCTTCAGCGACAGGGGGCCTAGGTGGTCCCTACACCCCTCCTTACTCTTGTCATTTCAGAATGTTGGCAGCTCTGCACATGCATCCCCATCCCTTTCTTTGCAGACAAGTGCTACCGTATATACTCGCCTATAAGTTGATCTGTCTATAAGTCGGTTGTATTTTTTAAGCTTATGTTAGAAAGATTGACCTTCTAAAATACGAATCTTTTTATATCTTGCCCATAAGCTGGACATAGAGTTTTGGACCAAAGTTTAACTCCCAAAAAGCCGACTTATAGACAAGTATATACGGTATTTTTGCATCCAGTTCTTTGTGGACATTTGCATTCACATGTATTCTTTACAGTCATTTGTTGCCCCAACCATTCTTTCAACATGTTCAAGAGCAGATAGTACCATAACTCTTTCTCTGTGGGCCCATCCCTTCTTTTGCAGACAAATGCTATTTTTGATTGATCGAAAAAAAAAAAGTATTTAATTTTTGCAATTTCAGATATTTAAGTGGATAATCTATTTAAAGATTCTGTCCATCTTATTTTAAAAAAAAACAGTGAGGTTCTGAATGACTTGATTATCAGAGACTTCCATCATCAGTGGAGGAATGTTTTAAATATCGTATAGTGTTGTAGTTGAACTCAAATTTCACAGTTAGTTTTTCCCTGAGCTAAGATATGAACTGTTAATCATTTTGGCTATCTGAATATGCAGGGATTTCAGTGATATAAAAGAGAGCTTGTTTTTTAGCTCTACTGGTCAGAGACCAGAAGAGCTTATGCGATAGTAATGCGTCCGTCGTCCGTCTGTCTGTCCGTCTGTCTGTCTGTCTGTCTGTAAACAATTTTTCAAAATGCTACTCCTCCTACAGTTTTGGTCCGATTTCAATATAACTTGGCACACAAGTAGACTACACTAAGATACATAATTCTGTGCATCAGTTTTTGATTTCGATGAACGGTGTTGCCGTGGTTACTAAAAATAGAAATTTCTGTGAAATTCTTTCAAAATGCTACTCCTCCTACAGTTTTGGTCCGATTTCAATATAACTTGGCATACAAGTAGACTACACTTAGATACATAATTCTGTGCATCAGTTTTTGATTTCGATGAACGGTGTTGCCGTGGTTACTAAAAATAGAAATTTCTGTGAAATTCTTTCAAAATGCTACTCCTCCTACAGTTTTGGTCCGATTTCAATATAACTTGGCATACAAGTAGACTACACTTAGATACATAATTCTGTGCATCGGTTTTTGATTTATATATGTTGCCGTGGTTACTAAAAATAGAAATTTCTGTGAAATTCTTTCAAAATGCTACTCCCCCTACAGTTTTGGTCCGATTTCAATATAACTTGGCACACAAGTAGACTACACTAAGATACATAATTCTGTGCATCGGTTTTTGATTTCGATGAACGGTGTTGCCGTGGTTACTAAAAATAGAAATTTCTGTGAAATTCTTTCAAAATGCTACTCCTCCTACAGTTTTGGTCTGATTTCAATATATCTTGGCACACAAGTAGACTACACTTAGATACATAATTCTGTGCATCGGTTTTTGATTTCGATGAACGGTGTTGCCGTGGTTACTAAAAATAGAAATTTCTGTGAAATTCTTTCAAAATGCTACTCCTCCTACAGTTTTGGTCCGATTTCAATATAACTTGGCACACAAGTAGACTACACTAAGATACACAATTCTTTGCATCGGTTTTTGATTTCGATGAACGGTGTTGCCGTGGTTACTAATAATAGAAATTTCTGTGAAATTCTTTCAAAATGCTACTCCTCCTACAGTTTTGGTCTGATTTCAATATAACTTGGCACACAAGTAGACTATACTAATATACATAATTCTGTGCATCGGTTTTTATTTTGATGAGTGGCAAGAATCATTTTTCTGTTTATTGCTGTTTTAAAGTTTCAAGTGCCAACTGCTACTTTCCTCTTCCTTTGTTTTAAGTATAAACCAGTAGAGCTACAGTCTCGACAGAGACTTCTGGTTTTTTTTAGGCCTGGAGGTATTCCTGCTAAGAACAGTAAAGGGGAACGACTCATGCTTTACCTGGGAGTGATTGATATATTACAGAGCTACCGGCTAAAAAAGAAGATTGAACACACCATGAAATCTATTGTCATTGATGCAGTAAGTTAACTTCAGGTCGAGGAGGAATGAGATTTATTTTAACATTTCTCTCATTAGAAAGTTCTATAATGACTGTTAAAAACGGGAACACTTTTTTATTTCATATTTTTTTGATTAGAGACTTATATATGGGCTAAATTTTAATTTTCCTAGTTATTCAACCTGTTTTTATTCTCTTGTCAAATCTGAAGATAACAATCAGTTATCAAGCTCACAATACAAAACGCAACAGAACAGAGAAATGGGATCAGGTGCCATGGAGGAGTAAGTTCTCCCTATTGTCATGGTCAGGCAAACAGAAAAAAATCCTAGATAATGCGATGTGTAAATACTGTATGTGAACTTCTTTGTGGACTTCTCATATTTTAGTGGCTTTGGTGCAGACAAACATGTGCTTATTCATGAATACCTTTAAAAATTTATCAATAAATGCATTGAATATGGTGGAAGTATGTAGCGCTAATTTATTATTAAGCTTATCACTCCATTTTGAGTGAGTGTGCTAAATTTTAAATACGCCAATTTATGAACATGAACAGTTATTATTGGCCTTCGAAGAATTTGTATGAAACTTAAATGAAAATTCCACTTTTCAAAAATAAATTCAAAATTTTCTGTTTTATAGGACAGTATATCAGTTCATAGACCAAGTTACTACTCACATAGATTCCAAGATTTTATGTCAACGAAAGTCTTCAGAAAAATTCCAACTCGTAAGTACATAAAAGATTAGCATAAGTTTTAATAGTTTTTGCTTAGTCATTGCTAATTTATTTTAGTAGCTGCACTGTATTACATATTTTCCATCTTTATTGACCAAAATCATTCCAGAAAAAGAAAAAGGATATTTTTTTATGTTAATTTTTTTAATTGTAGGAAATTGATTTTCTTTGGTTTCTTTTAAAGAACTTGACAAAACAGCTCTTCAAAAAAAATTAATGAAAAAAAGGGGATAAATTTTATCATTTGTTTCTTTAAAAAATAAAGAAATTGATTGAGAGGGAAATTTGCTGAAGGGAGTCTAGTCTTTAATATTTTTTAAATGTAGAATTTTATATGTACCTTTCAGGATATTAACTTGTGTGTTGTGGAATTGATTTTTTTCTTTCATTTTTCAAGGATATAATTTGGAAATACTATTTCTTACTGTTTTTACAAAAGCTGTATCATTTTGAAGCACAAGCACAAGTTCCCCCTATGGCTGTTTGAATCAGTTTCTATATAACTCACACATATACAATTGTTTTGCACTTTCTAATGGATCATATCTTAAATGTATTCCATTCATGCCAAAAAAAAAAACATGCAGGGAGAGAAAAATTGTATTCACATTTGTAAAAGATAGTTGATGGACATTTACAAGAGAAGATTTAATCGTTAACTTTATAAGTTTTCCAATATTCTTCAAAACTTAAGCTTTTTGATAACTGGTTACATAATATATTCATGCTAAATCAATTGGACCAAGTTGTGAAGAAGTCTGAGTTCATCATTTTTAGAAGCACAGTAAGCATGTCAGTCAATGTGTAACATTAAAGTAAATATATACAATAGAAAGACAGTGCTTATAAAAAATCATCATCATAATTATTATCATATTAACAGATTATAATATTAAAGAATTATAACAATAAAGAAAACATATCAGATTAAGTGGGACAAACAATGTTTGAATGTAATTTTTTGCAAAAAAGAAACCCTCATAATAATCATATTAACAGATTGTAATTATAGAAGAAGTACTGTATATTAGGGTTATTTTTGCCCTGTGTTATTTTTGCTCTTTTACATTTGCCCCGTTTTAGAATCGCCCTGTCCCAGTTCCATTGAAGAAATTATACTGTGTTCTTTGAATCTGCCCCATTGTAAATTGGCCAACTTGTGACAAGGGCAAGAGGGGCAAAATGAAATGGAGGCAAAAATTTCCCTGTATACAGTATTACAAAAGGGAAACATATCAGATTAAGAAGGATAAACATCCAATGGCTGAATGTAATTTTTGCAATTTCGTTTCTGACTTTTTGTTTCTTCTTTTATGCTTTCCCCTCTCAGTGGAACCACCTAATTTTAGGGCCACACAGCGCTTCCGCAAAATTGTCAATCTAGGTAAAAGCTTGATCCAAATCAGTTCTGTGCAATGTCTTGTCCATGAAAGTGAAAATTTTGTTCAGTTTATTAGAAGCAGATCTGTAACTTTCAGTTGTTAGTGGTTCTGTGACATTGGCAAAACTGTTTGCATTTGATATCTTGTTAAAATCTGTTTTTAATGTGCTTTATTTTAAGTTTGTTGGCAAAGCAAGTTTTTAAAAATATATATTTATTTAATCAGTTAAATACATGTATATAGGCTACAAGGTGAGCCATAGATGATTCAACAACAACAAAAAAAAAAAAACAAAGAAAGAAACAAAAAAAAAAATATGTGTATGTGAAACATAAATCATAAATGGCAGTTTTTTTTTCAAGGAGGTCAACTACAAGATTAAAATCACAATGTCAAAATGTTGATACTCAAATAATGGTTTAGTTACAAGAAAAAGGAATGCCTGAGCCAAATCCTTCTGAAATTATGACTAAAACATTAATTATATGTAGTTGAATTTCAAAGGTCAAGGTCATGAGATCAAATTATGGTACCCAAAGTATGGTTTTATCACAAGAATTATATTTGAAGTGTGAAAGCCAAAGCACCAACTACTTAAAAGTTATGGCCGAGGTTAAAGTTTTACAAATTTTGTGTTGAAACTCAAAGGTCAAAATGTCATAGCGTCTCCATATGAGTGAAAAATTCTCAAGAGGGACGTTAAATAATATACAATCAATCAATCAAAATGTCATAAATGTTGATTTTCAAAGAAATTGAGGTCTTATAAAGATATGAAAGCCTTAATAACAATAATTCAAAAATGAAGAGATGTAAAGAAAATAGCATGTTAAGATAAAAAAGCTATATAAAAAAAAAGCCCTTGTATATTTATTGGAAAAAATGATCTGGAAAATCATGAAATCACACTTTTAATTTGGCTTGTTTTGTCTTGTTTTCAAGTTTCTGTAGTGATATGGTGATGCAGTTGATACAGTTTTTCTTTTGTTGTTTTGTCTACAGAACCCAATGAACTTTACACAAATGTGATATCAGTTATGATCCTGATTGTTGAAATATGGTTACATTTTATGCTTTCAAGATTAAAGACCATTGTTTGTTTAGTTTTTTTTATGTGATTGCTTGGTAGTTAGTCTTGTGCAATGTGAGTGATTATTATGAATAAATTTCAAGGCTTTCTAAAAGGTCAAGGTGGAAAAAATATTTAAAGGAGGTGTACAGAAAACATAAATTAATGGAATTATTGTGTTCCATAAACAGTTTATGTTCAACTTGGAACTTTGATTCTGTAATGTTGAATTGTGTGAGAATCTTTCACATGTATCATTTTAAACAGCAGATTATTTTTCAAGATTGATAAATACAGAATCTCTGATTCCCTATGATAGAACATGTGGAAATTAATTTGTCCTGGGATAAATAGGGTATAATGGTTTAATGCCGATCATGTTGATATCAGAAGATCTAACCGATAAAAAAAAAACATAAAATAAAATTGAATATATCATATTTGATAAAAAAAATCTTGATATCATAACAATTCCAGAGAAAAAAAACTGATTTGTTAATAGTTACTTAAAATTTCCATGAGAACACATATAATTTATTTTACATATGGTACAATCATGTATCAATGGTGTTACAGTATCTGATTTAACTTGTTTAAGGTTTCGGAAGTCGATTAAGTTTATAATTTTTGATTTCTTTTTATCAAGATCTGCGCCAGAAATTTGGTATGGTTGGATTTCTTCCTTCATTAATTCATAATTATTTTCATAAAAAACATACATCATTCTGCATTTTAAAAGCACACTTTTCTGCACGAACATCTATGCCAAAAAAAATTTACTCTTATTTTTTTTCTTCAGTGTCACTCATATATGAATTTGCTAGCATTTTGTACTGATATGAATACAAATTTATTTCATGACATCTAAATACAAATTCATTTTCATTTTTTATTTATCATGCAATATACTGACATGCATGTTATGATATGACTTTCTATTTTAAGAAATTCAATAAAGTTCAGTCTTGTCTTTTTTGTAAATAACTATCAATTTGAAAGCATATTTTGAATGTGTAATCAAAGTGATATACTAGCAATGCTACCCATACATTTTATGAATAATTTATTATTGTTAATAGAAAATCAACTGTGTATATATATATGTGAATTAAGGTTCGTCGTCTCTCTAAAAAGAAGGATAACTCTAACTTGGATATTATAATGATTATTCTGTAAGAAAAAAATGAGCAATTTCTGTCAAATTTGGCACAACGAACAATGCTAAATTTCACATTTCAATTATAATTTAGATATCTTTTGGAAACTACTAACAACATTTCAATGACAATTAAGAGTATATTTTTGAAAATCTTAACCATTAAAGCTAAATGCCTTAAGGAGGCTGAGGGTCAAGAAATATACAACAAATTAACCACCAGGTATAACTTAAGTTTATAGATATTTCTTTAGCTGTCAACTATCATTTGACAAAGAAAAATTTCATACAATTATTTTAAGATTTGATCATTTTTGTATATCTTTACATGGAGCTCTTCTTCTAAAAGGACATCCAAATAGTCTAAAAATGGCAACAACCACCTAGTCCCCTTATTAAGAAATGTTTGAACAGAGGGACGGTTAACATTAATTTAGCAAAAGTTCAAAAGATGGTACCACCACTGCTGCCTGGATCACCTGATAAAATGCTCTGCTCATGAATCAATTTCATGCAAAAACTTTTTTTTTGCTTTCAGGAAGGAACTTTTACATTTCATATCTATTTTTTTGTAGAAATTAAAAGTATATTTTATTATGTAAACTTTAATCAATATTGCTTGATAATTCACAAATGAGATGTTTGTGCTCTAGTTCTCAAGTTCTGAAAGTTAAATGTTTTTATTTTTAACTTTTTTTTCTTTTTTACAATAGGTGAACTTGCCAAAACTCAATGAAAACTTTAAGGTTCCACACCCCTTAGTTAACTATCTATAAATATAAATAATTTGTTAACTTAATATAAAATATTACTTTAAGGTTCCGCACCCATTTGTTTACTTGTATGAAATTTTACTTTCATGCAAATAATGCTTCTGACACCCCCCCCCCCTTTCTCAAAAAGTTTGTTTTGTTAATTTACACAATTTCCAATTTCAGCATATGTGCAGTAAATAATTTAACCGTACTTGATTATTTTATATAAGGAAAAATGGTTATAAAAGCCATGCTTACCACTCTCCACGGAAAAAAAAATTAATAAAAATTAATTTTCTTGTAGCTCTGAAACATTCTCCCTCCAAGCGTAAGACAAATGCAGGCAAAAGAGTGAACACAATTTCAGAATCGGAACCAGAAACATCGAGGTCAGAGGGCAGGACTCGGTCCATTAGCTTCCCAGATGATGACGACCAACCAACAGGTTTGTACTTGTTTAGTCACAGACCTGTGTATCCTTCTGCTTTTGGCTTAATTCATCCAATTTTTACCACATAATTGCACTTACCAATACATCACTCCTGTACAAGATGCTTAATGACATGAAATAATGAAGAAAATCTAGTATGGTCATGATGGTGAAACTCTTCCTATCAATAGTTTAAAAAATCAACAAGTCATTAACACCGGTATTTGAAAATTTTTCAGCTTTTCACTTTCAAAATTCTCAGTAAATAGGGTACAGAACCCTATACCAAAATTAGGCCAACATAGCCTTAGTAATTGAGATATAGATGTTCAAGAACTTTGTTGAGATATACTGTAAATCACTTTTTATTTGTGAGAACTTTATTTTCGCGTAACTAGCAAGACAGTGTGCTTGCGAAAATTTAATTCTCGCGTATAATAGCATTCTTTAAGATTATATAGATCTATAACCAAAATTTGTGAAAATTTTGTCTAGCTAATCAAGAGTCATTGACTATCTCACGAAAATTAGGAATCGCGAAAATTTAGTGATCTACAGTAGATGTTCAAGATACCGAAGTTCAACTGTATTTCATTGTAGGAAGAAAAGGTGGCAGGCCGGACCTTCTTCCTCAGAATTCGACGCCGCCACCTACGTTTGCGGAGGCCATAGCCTCCAAATCTGATACCTCTCCCAGAGGTCAGGACATTAAAATGTCAAGGTAATATCAAGGCTGTCAATACCCTACAAGACATCAGGAAGGTTTTTCTAATATTTAAGTTTTAATCTTTATCAGTATACACATAGGTTTTAAGTGTTACTTTTGAAGAGCAGTTAAATATATAAATGATTCTCATGGAAATCTCATGTAATAAAAATAAGCTCAAGCTAATCCCCTGGATTGACTTAACAACAATGTCTTGGTTTTAATCTTAGGATCAAGTCCATTTTCTAAGCAGTGATATGTTAATTCATGGATATCATAATTTAAAACAAAATTTGATTCTCAATCTCGGACATTTATCAAACTTAATTATTCAATTATAATCCTGTTCATTGAAATTTCTTGGACTGAGAAAAACTGGGAAAAAATTATCTGTATCTGTTTTTTTTTTTTTTTTTACATTTTTTTTTTCTGTTAAAAAATATTTGTCATGAATTGAAGTTTTTATATTACAATTTATAATCTGGAAGAAAATTTTCATATCTTTGAAAAATGTATAATGTTTCTTGTATATATTCAGTCGGATCCCTGGAGCGCTAGGATCAACATTCCAGACCAATCCAAATGACTCCAGTTATCCAGTCTCCCCCAAAATGTCAAGTCTGCGGGGCTCTCCACCCCTGAGTATTTCTGAATCCACCCCTACACACACTGAGTACACAGAGGGCACTCCAAGCTACACCCCCTCCTCCCCCAGCTGTTACAGTGATATAGGTTAGTGTAAAAATACCCCCCCCCCCCCTTTAAGATCTGGGGTGACCCCTATCATTTGGTATTTTTCTTCTGAATTTATTTGCAAAATTACACTGTTATGACTTTTTAAAAAAATTACAGAATATTTAAATGGTTTCAATGCATGTATTTAAATCTTGTTTATTTTCTCAGTAAATAATATGAATAAGCTTAAAAAAGGTAAACTGAATAAAGCTTATGCTGATCTATTTGAATTCTTGGATGATTTATTTAGCACTCAGAAATGTTAAAAATTATGATATCTGAGGCTGTATAATCTTTTGCTAAAAAAATGAAAAAGCAAATTTTGATGATGCTTCATTTGCTTAGAACCAGCATTTCAAGCCGAGTTGGACAAAGAACTCTTAACTCCGGCAACTGGGACGTCTCTCTCAGGATTAACAATTTCAAATGTCTCAAACACAACACACACTGATAGTGCTGCACTGACTAAAACAGTGATCAGAATCCCTGATAATGACAAACATTCTAGTGATGCAGATCACAGGGGCAAACATTCAAGTGAACAAGATATAAAACATTCAGGTGAGCAGGATCAAGCTTCCTCTTCACCTGACATTCCATTGACTTCCACAAATAGAGAGGAGGATCCAGGATCAACAGGAATGGATCAGACAGAAAGTTCTTCAAAAGAAAGCAGTGCTGTAGAGATGGTAAGTTCCAATTATCCTTTATAGTGACTGTTGTTTTTAAGTGTTAGTGTGGTGATATGTATTTCCATGGGGCAATTTTGTGCCTAACATTAAGTAGGTTTTTTGGGTGTGTGCACACACATAGGTAAATGTTGCTTTATTTTTTGTTTTAATTTTGCCTGATTGTCTCTGTGTTGTTAACTTTTTTTTTGGGGGGGGGGGGGGGGGGGGGATAAATAGACATTTAAAAAAATGAAAATTCAGAATACTTCTCAATGTGACATGTATAGAGTCTTATTTAAACAGTTATATCTTATAATCAATGAACAATTATTCATAAACATCATCTCTTGATAATCAATATTTATTTTTATATTCATTAAAATGGTGCTTAATTTATTGCAAATTTACATTATGTCTGAGCAAATATAACTTATTGAGTCATTAACTTCATTAGCTTTTTTTAGCAAAGAAAAATAAATAAATAAATGTAAACTTCACCAGAAATCCAACTTAAGTTCCAGTAAATTCCATCTTAAATTTTTACAGTTAAATATAGCTGTTTTGGAGGTAAATTTGGAATTAATTCATATCTATATGGCATACATGCAAATGAATCTGTCTGAAAAAATCATTGCAAGCAAGAATGCTGAAAACAATTGACTACTAAATTATTATTGGCGAATGATGAATGATTGACAATTACATAGAAGTATTGCTGGATAAAGTTTTTAGTTTGTGAGGCTTTGAAGTAAGATTTCTCTGAATGATGTGCTCCACCTCTTTTTAAAGTCAGGACACAATTAAGTGATAATTATAATTTTTTTTCTTTCTTTTTGAAGATGAAACGGCATGAAAAAGTAATATTCTCGTCAAACTAACCTGCAATGTTTAGTGTGTATTAGCAGTTAACAGGATATTTTCTCTCCATTGAGAATCACTGTGTATAAATCACTGTATATATACATATATAGATTTGTTCTGAAATGATTCTGAAACTCATTTTATTGAAAATGTAAATTTACTTTTCAAGACAGTGAAATTCTTTTGTTTTAAAACAATAAAGCAACAGAATTTCATAGTAGTAATAGTCATAGTAGTCAATATTAAGAATATATACATATGTTTATAAAAACTTTTAATTAAAACTAAAAAAAAAAATCATGATTTCAAAAAATTGAAAATCTCTTGGTAGCAGAAATGGAAGTATCCTGTTAACTATAAACAAACTAAATATACGTAATCTTCTTGCTTTTAACTGTTCTATGTAGCTTCTGTGTATCTGTTTTTCCTGTTGTAGTCTGGTGTTTCTGGAAAATGTTTGCATGATGGGATAGCAATGCATGGCTTGGTGAAGGGTACTAACAAAACTAATTTCTCACTGAATAGACTAGACTCTAACTTTGCATATCCTTCAAAAAGTACTAACTCTAAAAGTGACACAGAAATTATAAGTCACTATGACAACAGCACAAAGGTCAGAGGAGAATTTATCCTCCAACACAGAAGAGCTTCTTCAAGGGGAGAGAAATCTGAAATGGATACCACAGAGCAGAGCTATAGTAATGATATGGAGATGGAAGAAGAGTTATCTTCTCCCGAGAAGAAAAATGATTCCATTTCAGTGGAGGATCCAGAGTTTTATTCTAAAACTCAGATGAGAAAGAGGCTGGATCAGTTGTTGCATTTACAGTCACAGAGGAACCCTCCTGAGATTGTCAGAGCATCTGCCCCACCGATGTCCATACATTATTACAAACCTGTGGCCCTGAGGAGGTTTACCTACTTGCCAGGAAATGAACTGGAGTACAGTGCAGCAAAGGAAAATGAAAATACTCATCTGTAGAAAGGGGAATTAAACAGGAAATGAAAGTTGAAGAGAGACTACTAAATTTATTAAAGCTAGGAAAAAGTAGTGAATTTTCTTTGGATAGATGGGGAAAATTTCATGTATTTTTTCTTGCAGAGAAATTAGAAAGAAAGAGGTTTCAAGTATAATAGAACACTTGATTAACTGCTTACTAATGGGTAATATGTGCATCTTTCCTCAAAAGAAATTAGAGGGAAACAGTTTCCAGGTGTAAGAGAATATTTGATTATCACCTCTGTCAGGCTTGGGGTCAATTACTTTGAAATGTAATTAATTACTTTCAAATACATTGATAATTTTGTCAATTACTTGCAATTACAATTACATTGATTTTTTAAAATGTAATTAATTACTTTCAATTACTTTGACAAATGTAATTAAATACATTTCAATTACTTGAGTTTTATTTAAAAAAAAAAGATTTTTATTTAAATTTTCTATAGTGAACTATTTAAAAATTTTTTGTTCTTTGGAATGAGAGGGGCTCACATCTGTACAAAATTAGACCTTTACCAAATGCCTTGGGCAGTGTGACACACTGTATAAACAATTTAAACAATTAACATTATGAGACATTTAATTATTGTACAAAACACAAGCCCATGCTACGCCAGTATGGTGTATGGCAAGATAATTTTTGTTACTTTCTCAAATCCATATTTTTGAAAGAAATAAATATTTCTCACAAATCCATAATTTTCTATCTTAAAATGAATAGAATATAAGTAAATCTAAAAAGGGATGTAGTTAGTCTAATTACTGTAAAAACATATTAACTATCTAAACAATCATTGTTATTTGCAATTGAGAATAGGTAGAATTGAGATTTTTAAAAGTGGGAATAGGTACTAAGTATAAACTTACCAGAATAAAAATTGTGTATCAGTAAACAACACATATTTTATAAACTTTCATTTTGAAAAAAGTAATTGAAATGTAATTGAAAAGTAATTGAAAATACATGATCTTTTTTGAAATGTATTTAAATACATTCAATTACTTGTAATTGAAGGCTCGCTCAAATACAAATTACTTCCAATTACTTTGAAAAATGTAATTAATTACGTCCAATTACAATTACTTTATTCAATTACCCCATCCCTGACCTCTGTCATGAAATATTTCCTGCATAATTGTTGTTTGCCTATGAAAGTTTTTAAATTTTGCCCTTCAGAGTTGCATGCATTGATTTTCTATTTTCATGAAGAAAGAATATATGTTTGTTTTCTTTTGTATTGTACAGTATTTGTATTCTGTCAAATGTTGAAATTTTAGTGCATTGGATATTATTGTCATGTCCTAGTTTTAATCTGATATCAACATGGGTCTCCAAGATAAACATAGTTATAGAATAATATCAAGTTCATGTTGGAAGATTGACTCATTGTTTAAAGTGCTAGAACAGATATGATTATATTTAGATTAATAAATAAATCATGATACATTTAAAGTTGAACCTTTCCATGTTGAGCACCGTATGTCTGAGAAAAAAAATGAATAATCATAGAATCAAGATACATATATTGAAGTCAAATTACATAGGAAGAAAAGGTGTTGGGATTCCATCTCATTCAACTGTTTTAATTTTATAAACCTTTCCAAGTGATCTAGGTTTGCTGGAATGTGTTAACTTATATTTTAGTAACTTATTTTTTCTCTCTTCTATGAAGAAACTGTCACCATACATGTAATCAGAAACATACCATCTTAGTTATTAGAAATATGCTTTAGTCTGTATTCATGGTAGTTGTATTAAGTTTGTGTTCATGTATTTTTCTTCTTTTTTCAGAAGTAGAACGACTTTGAGAAAGGGTACTTTTTTTAATTGCACCTCGTACTAAAGTACATATGTTAACTATCTCAACTAAAACAAGTTGGAAGATTGGCAAACTAGCATTTAACATATTACTTTGGAAGTAAATGGATTGTATAGATATTTTGTTTTCTTTTCAAAATCAAAAAGAATATCATTTTCTTCATTTTCTTAAAGACAAAACATGGGGCAAATAAATATTAAGCAGGCATTTCACATTTGTAAATTTTTATATGAAAACAAGTCAAAAATCAGACTGTCAGTCAATTGGTATATTTTTTTAAAATCAAAATATTTGTTTTATTCAATTTTTCTATGTATTATCATGTATACTTTAAATGCTTTCGTTATTTTGCCAGTTTGCCCAAATCTTTCACTTTAGAGAATCAATACATAGGCAAAAAACTGTGATCCCCCAACACTTTCAGTATATACCCTGTTGTTTAGTGTTGTAGAAAAATTAGGTCTTAGAGGGAGAGTTTTTTATCACAATTTTCTGTAACATGTAGAGGTACAGTAGTAATTTTTTTCCTTCATATGGTTCTGCAGGCAAATTTAACAAGGCATAAAATATATATATTCATAACAAGTAAATTGGGTATTTATTGTTTGTAATGTAGAACCATCTGTAGCTTAGACCTTTGTATCTTTGTATATTGTGGACAATTCTGTCAGTTATTACGTAGTAAATCAGGTACTTGTGTTGTGATATGATGAAATAGTGGACATAATTTTGAGCAAAAATTTTAAAAAAGGCATTTTGATAACGGATGCTTTTTCCAAGGAGTATGTTGCTCATATTAATTTGTTTACCTGAAATCAGTGCTTAAGATATAAAATTTCAAAATTATATGTTATCAATTATAATTACAGGCACCCTATGAGGTCAATATTAATTAAGGTCATCTTAAGATCTGTGAGTTTTATCTATTTATTTGTTTAAAAAAATACATTAGTCAAGGTCAAATTATGAGGTTTGAAGTATACATACTCTGACTTTTATCCATAATACTTTTGTAAAATTGATATATAATTATTAAAGGTCAAGTCAAGGTCAAAATTTGAGGTCGTTGGATTAACACAATTTACTACCTGAAAATAATTTTGTCACTTTCACCATGACTTTAGGGAATGTACAAGCAAATTAATTTAAATTCTCTCTAGAATGTTTATAGACTTCATTTGTCAGTACCTTCAGTGGATTAGACAAAGAATACATTTTCCTAACCTCCAAATGTTGTACTGTTATTTCTGGCATGTTAGATTCAGTGGTGGTGGTAGTCTTCTATGTCCTACAGTATATATTGTTAATCAGAATATCCTTTTACAGAAGAGAATGGAGTAAGTGTTTAATACACAAGAATACTTTTATGTCCAAAGGTTAATTTCAAAAGAGTTTAATGATGTTATTCATTAGTCTTACTAAGAGAGTAACTATTAAATTTAATGTTATTTTGTTGTAATTTTGTGGAAATACAAAATTGACCTTGAAATCTTACCTTTAATGATTCCCAAAATATGTACATGTAATAAGTAAAAGAATCTTTCAATAAATACATGGATATGTTTTGAATTGTGATGAGTTTTATATCTGACCAGACATGGTTACTAGTATCAGACCTGTTTACCCTTACGATTTCGACGTATTTTTTACAGATTTTTGGTCTAAAATACGTCTCACGTTTTGCTGTTATGAAAATACGGAAATTGGAAATACGTTCCTTTACTATTTAGCACATAGTTTTCATTATGATCTCTCTTAGTTTCACGCTTTTTAATTTCTTAAAAGGGGAAGATTTCAAACACATAAGCGATGACGGGTTGCCAAAACGCTGTGGTATTATAAAAGGTCAAAGACCATGTTGATTAACCATGTTTTTGTAATCAGAAGAGCAGTTTTTCTCTATTAATACATGAAAAATCGATGAAAAGAGAAATCTTACTGGCAAATGCCAAATCTCATGGACAAATCTACCTAAAAAATATTGAGAGACAGCGAAATGGGTAAACAGGTCTGTAGTATGTATATAGACAGTAAAATGTGAATTCAAAGAATTTATGAAGGTACCTACATATAACTGATTCTTATTTTGAATTTCAAGAAAGCAGTTCTACACTGTCTTCAATTCTTTGAGATATCCATTTAAACTCCAAGACAAGCTATGTTATGAAAGAAAATGATATTTTGTTGAAACATATATCTTTATACGATAAGGAAGGTTAACGAATCTGCAATTTAACTGAGCAAGATCTCTATTATTTAACATAAAAACTGACCTTAAGCTTTGATTTAATAATCCTGTACTAAGTATTTTTTACTTTCTTTTTTTCAGACCCATCTTTGAAGAATTTTCTAAAACAGATCATCAAATTAGTTATCTTGGACAATAGGATGCCAGATAAAAGACATATAGGCAATGTAAATGTTATTCCCTAAAAATATGGACCCAGGGCAATAATTCATGATATTGCCTTCAAAATAGGGAAACATGGGTCCAGGACAATAGTTTATTATATTGCCCTCAAGAGTGGAAAATATGAACCCAAGGCAATAGTCATGATATTGCTCTAGAGAGAGGGCACTGTGATCATCTATTGATCATAACTTTTTCATGTGTCTGTTCTTTTCATGGTGCTCATCCTTCTTTTTTTCTCTTTAAAACACTGTCTAAGGAGGATTTAAGATCTTCTTTCAATGTATATTAAATTATAATTAATCATTTTCTTGTCACTTTATATCCTTGATAAGAACTGAAACATGCATATATGTCATGCCATTCTTGCACATGTAGAACTCTGGTTTGTTAGTCTTAAATCTGTAACATGTTGATGTGAATCATCATTCTAAAGAAAGTGACAATTCTCTAGGAAAGTGAATTTTTTAGAGAATTACCCCTGTGGTCAAATTTAAAAAAATAATTCTACAATTTCCATAAATTTTCTGAAATATTGAAATCTGGACATAATATCAGTGGGTGATTATGCACCTGTATGTATTTATTTGTATAGTTCAGAGGTCAAAGTTCATGTAGACTAGGGGTAATTAATCATTGAACAATAGCATCTGACATTATATATATTAATTTTAGGTACAGTTTTATGTACCAATATTTACATCAGATGTTAAAACGATGTACCATGCAGCTTGTAAATTATTTTTGGCAAAATGGAATTTATATTTGTTCTCTTTTTGTGAGTTTGGTCCTTGAACAATCCTTGTTGAAATGTTTGCTGATTATAAATTTAAAGTGATGGACTTGAATAGACATAAGAATGGAAACAAATTGTTCATCATTAGGGGGAGAAAAAGGTTATTTTTTTTAAATGCGTAATTAATCTATTGTACAAGTTGATAGTGACATATTTTTCAAATATTGGAGGACTGAGATATGTTTTGTACATTATATTGTATGTTTTCTCGCCACAAATTTTGTTAAATATTTCTGGAAGAGCATTGAACAAATTATTCATACTAACAAAATCAGCATCGTTTAGGAAAAATCACTTTTTAGTTATAATTAATAGAATGTGATGTTTTCATTTAAGTTTGAAACGAAAAGCAGCTTCACAATGGATAAACATAAAGGGATGGCTAGCTACAAAATGCTGGCATTGACAAAAATACAATTCAAACACGTTTTTGTGTATATTTTGGCTTCAGATCATCTTTCATGTCTCGAAGGGTGAACCATTAAATATTTAAAAAATAAAATGCAAAGTAACATTATTTCACATGTTAGATACCTGGTATATCTAGTTTCTTGAGGTTGATCCATCCTTTTAGTATAAGCTACAGTTTTCATGTAGAATATTGCATACATTGTTAACCAAAGCCAATATGTTATACTTTAATTTTCTGTGCAAAAAATGACAAAATACTGAATGTTTCTTGTAGATGATCTAAATGTGTAAATATTTTTCTTGCCAAATATTGCAGTAACTGTTGCAAAACAAAAATTTGCTTAAAATAGCTTAAAGCAGATTCCTTATGTTTTTTAAAAGTATTTTGTATCTAATTTACAAATATTAAAGTTTTTAAGAAATGTAGAATTTTAAACTATCATGGCTGTATTAACCATGTTAACATTCCCTATATAGTATTAATAATAATTTTTCATGCATAAACTTGAAAACCTTCTAGGGACAATTTATTTCAACATCGTAAATTTTCTTTTTACACTATTGAACAAGACATTTTCATTCAAAGCTAGGGTATGTAATGAAATGAAGTATAATTACTATGATCATAGCTGAGTTCACTCCACGTTGCAAAAACCTTCAATGTAAGGGGGCGTTTTTCAGAACGTTTGAAAATGCGCAAACTCGGACAATAATTCTCCATGTTACCAACCATTGGCTAAACATACAAATCATGCAGTGATACAAACATTTGATTCATTTCTTAATTTGGCACAGCTTTTGAACTATGTGTGACACCACGTTGAAATTATGGGATTTTTTGGCAATAATTGGCATTATACAATGGATGCAGTGTAGCAAAGTGTTCTCCACGTCGACACTACCTCATAGTGATGTTGTCAATAGAATTATCACCCTATTGTTGTTTCTCAATAGTTCATGAAAAATTCTTCATGAGTAAAATATTTCTTTTCGATTTTGAAAGCATATCATGCCATTTTGAAACAAAATATGTATACGTAATCAATTTGTAAGACATCCTGAAGTTGAGCCCCCTAGTAAATACAAAAAATTATGTTTGAAAAAAATGTAGAATTTATCATGTTTCATCTAATTCTTGTAATACCGTATTTGTTCCTTTTTAATTTGCACTGCAAATTTCATTCAGTTATGTTAAAAAGTCAAACAAGATATTTCAGTTGTTTTATGCTTCTAGACTTACTGGGAGTATTTTCTAACTCATAGTGAGTGATTTTCATGCATGCATGGTATTAGCATCTCTAGGCTTTGGTTATATTTTTTCCAAGGACGAATGAACATGCACTGCAAATGTCTTTCAAAAGGTTTCCTATCGTTTCAAAAATGTTATCTCTTTTGAGCCATTTAATAATGCTATATATTAATAATATGTCATAATAATTATCTGTATATTTTGTATTAAAGGCTCTTGATCATGAATTAAATATGTTGAACATATATTTTTCAGTATTGTTTGTTTTCCTTCATTGCGCTAGCCCACAGTTGGCCATTGTTTTTTTTTGTACATGGATTAATGTTACGTTGTCATGAACATAATGAATGTTAAATAAAAAGTTTTTTTAATCTTTTAATAAAAGTAAGTTAGCTGCTCCGGATGCGATAGTAAGGTAATATATGCGTCCGTCCGCGTGTAGCTGTCTGTCCGACTGCAACATGTTAACAATTTATCAAAAACGCTTCTCCTACAGTTTTGGTCTGATTTCATTCATTTCAATATAACTTGGCACACAAAAGGACTACACCTAGATGCATAATTTGGTTTATTTCAATGAATGGTGTTGCCATAGTTACTAAAAATAGAAATTTCTGTTAAATCCTTTTGAAAATGCTACAACTCCTTCAGTTTTGGTCTGATTTCAGTGTAACTTAGCACACGAGTAGAGATACATAACTTGGTGCATCTGTTTTTGATTCTGATGAACGATGTTGCCTTGGTTATGTTACGGTTTTCCAATAGTAGAAATAACTACGCTGGTAGTAAAAGATTTATTGATGTCACATTGTCAACATATAAACAGCTAGGCTCTGAAATACATACGAGTATAAAATAAACATACATGCACATTACAACACAAAACACACATCAAAGGGAAATAACTCAATTTCAGAATTGAACACAAATAATAGTCAATTAGTTTGAAATGAAATAAATATGAATTTAGATAGAATAGTAAAACTGAATCAATTTAGCTTTTCCCAATTATAATATAAAATCAATATTGTATCAAATCAAATCAATCAATATTTCTCAAATTCATCAGTGCAAAACAATTAGTTCACACAGTAAACACAATCAAACACCACAAACAAATTCAACACACAAAACATTGATCTTACCAGATATATGGTATCAGAACCAGGGGCCCGTTTTACAAAAGGACTTACGACTTAAGACCAAATTTAATTCATATAACTTTTTGATTAACATTATATCAAAAATTAATTTAAACTTTTCAAATGGAATGTGGTAAGATAATTTTACTCAAAAAATTTCAAAGAGAATTATTAATTTTGAAAAATTTTACAATAATCTTAAGTTTTTGATCTTAGTCGTAAGTTCTTTTGTAAAACGGGCCCCTCAGTTCTTTATATTTATGTATGTATTTACAGCTATGGCTAAGGAACTCCCTAAAAACCAATTGTTATATTATATATTGATTTCATCAAAATGTAAAATATTAAATAAATTCTATTTTTATATTTATCACACAATCAATATTCTCACAGGTTAATAAAGATGAATAAATAATGTCTTACTTTTCTGTCAATGTCAGTACAGTCCAAAAACCTCTATCAACACATGCAATGTACAAAACAGGTATATAGGAATGAAAATCGAATACCCTAATATCACTATACCCTCTAAGACTTTTACCTTTGACACTAAAATTGAACCAACCAGAAATAAAACCACTGAACCATGAACAACATAATACACTATCTATGGAAACCCATGAATGACTTGAATTAATAAATAACTTAGAATATGGAAACTTGTTTATGTAATACTTGAAAATTAAGTTCTCAATAATTTATTTTATTTAAACAATACCAATAAAATAAATATAAATCTATACTATCACAGTTACTAAAAATGGCTATTTCTGTGAAATTCCTTTAAATCGCTACTCCTCTTACAGTTTTGGACTGATTTCAGAATACATCTGGATCTCCCCTTTGTCCAGTGTGGCTCATATTTCTGTCACAGAGTGCCTTTGCGTAAAGGGTGTGCAGTGACCTTGAGCAAAGTTTCAAGGTCAAGGTAAAAAATATCCTTTCTGTATAATATATTCTTGACTGGAGCATACTTTCCTTGGCCTAATCTGGCCTGAGTGGCCCATACTTCACAAACAGAGTGCCTTTGGATAAAGGGTGTGCAGTGACCTTGAACCATGTTTCTAGGTCAAAGGTTAAGGTCATAGCAAAATTATATGATAAATCCTTGTCCAGATCATGTCTTCTCTCCTCTTGGTGCAATTAGGCTCATACCTCACTCACAGAGTGCCTTTCGGTAAAGGGTGTGCAGTGACCTTGAATCATATTTCTAGGTCAAAGGTTAAGGCTATAGCAGAATTATATGAAAAGTCCTTGTTTATAGCATATCTTCTCTCCCCTTTGTCCAATGTGACTCATATTTCACTCACAGAGTGCCTTTGGGTAAAGGGTGTGCAGTGACCTTGAACAAAGTTTCTAGGTCAAGGGTAAAAGTCAAAAATATCCTTTCTGTTTTAATTGTCTGGAGCATATTTTCTATTTCCTTGGCTTAATCTAGCTCATACTTCACCCACAGAGTGCATTTGGGTATAGCAGAATTATGTGAAAATCCTTGTTTGGAGCATATTTTCTCTCTTTTTAAAGTCTTTGTTCGCTACATAATTTCTTTCCTACCCTTTCGACGCCGAATAACGTTACGACTATAACGTCAAGGATGCCGTACTATGACGTCAACTAAGACGTAAAATAGTTGCGTCAGAAAAAAAGCGTCAAACTGATAATGAAAAAGCACCTGTTTAACCAAGGTAAAAGGATGTAAGGAAAATTTTACGTCAGGAAAATGCTTATAAAAGAATCATATTTATTCCAATAATTTTAATATCACTACAATAAAGTAAGCTAACATTAATCCTATAGCTAGCAATTACAAGGAAAGATTTTAGATAGAACAACCCAACTCTTTTTAAAAATAATATTTATACTAAATGTTATTAATCTATAACTGCCGTATACGAGAAAACGGACCCTTATATAACCTGGTACTTTCTTAATGCAAATATGCATAACTTAATTACTTTTAAATATATAATTTATCTTATTTTTCCAGTATTTGATGAGCATTTTCATAATTTAAGACGCTTCAAAACAAAAGTTGGCGTGACTCAAAGATAATGTAATGTGTCGTTGCAGGTCTCGAACTCAGTACGTTTCTAAACATTACCAAAATTTTTAAGTACATCTTTATTGTGTTGATACAATGCCTCCCCCAAATACCATGAAAAAAGAGAGAAGTCCAGTCCGAAAATTAGGGCACCGTGGGCCATCCCCTCGCAAAAAAAATCGATCCCGATATAATAAAATAAATACTAGTATTACTTTCATATAAAAGAAGAACTCATGGTGTATAAAATTGGTTCTTCAGGGTTAAATTTCTACTACCACGCGGAGAAACATAAAACACCAGGCTCATTTACATAATGAAGTATTGTTTTGAGAAAGTTTATTCCACATTTAAAAATTAAAAATCATTAATTATATTTATATTTATTGGGGTTTTTTTAAAGTAAATCAGACTGTATCAAAAGCAGTAATGATATTGATGCTGCTGAACTGAGGAATACTGTAAATGTATTACATTTGGCGTGTACAATATTTGGCGGAATTTCAATTTTGAATAAGCGTAGATTTGATTTAGCGCTGTCTGAATTTGCTAGTTATAAAAGTTAATATTCAAGACATTTAGCGATATACTTGAATTAGCAGACTCTGCTTTCCGCCAAAATCGCTAAATAGAATACACAGCTAAATGTAATGCGTTTACAGTAATAGACATTTATGTCGTTTTTTTTTGGGGGGGGGGGGTTAACACTTGAACACAACAATCGAACATCATTTCAAAAACGTTATAGAAATTGGTTTCTGTAATATAGATTCCAAATGTCGGAATGACTTGGCCATTGGCGATCATATTCCCAAATACAAATTCTCACCTGCTTGGCAGAAAAATATAGCCGAGAGTCACATGTCATGCTTTAAATAGCATATGAGCTCGACTTCTAATCTCACGGAAAATTAAATTGTATCATTACGCATGGTTTGAAATAATGAACTTTCTAAATTCCTGAAATTGATCAAAACTCGTCAGATTAATCAATAATATGTCTATTTAACGATTGCCTGGACTCCAACTCAGATTTATGAGAAGTTCGAAAATGAAAAAAAAAATGTATACTTTGATCAATGATAGGTGTATTGCAGTCATTTGACGAAATCTACATGTAGTGTACATGTATTTGATTAACTAAAGGAAACACTGTCTAGTTAGTATAATATACTACGGCATCAACGATAATTGATGTCCCTGGTATACTATTATCGTTTTACTAACAGCGTGACAGTTTACTTGATAGGGCGTGCTAAAATTTTGTATGCTGATTATCATTTTTGCTCATCGATTGGATGTTTGATTTCAATAGAATCAATAATACTTTGCATGTGAAACACAGAACACAGCAATACCACTGACAATACTGACCAATCGCGTTGAATAAACAACAATTACATGTGAACGGACAAAGCAAGTTTTACTTCCTATAATGATAATATTGATAGAGCTACGTACATAGTACAACAGAAGCACAGTAGCCTTACTAATGCCATTCTTTAAATTTTCTTATATGTATCTAAAAACCCACCCGGTAAAATCACAACAAATATATTACATGCTTTTTTGAGGACAGAAAACGAAAGGGCTTTGACTGACCACGTGTTGCTGGTGACTACAAATGCCGTACTGGTAAACAACCCTTTAATGTGATTGGCCAGTATTATCAGGGGATTGTTGTATTCCGAGTTTCACATGCAAATTAGTATTGATTCCATTGATCCAATCGATGAGTAAAATGATAATCAGCACACAAAGTTTTTAGCACGCCCCATCAAGCAAACTGTCACGCTGTTTGTAAAATGATAATATACTAACTAGACAGTGATTCCTTATATTTCCATTTCATTGTGAAATAAAATTGTAGATTAAGATTTTAAAAATGTAGACATGGATTTAAATTACATGAGGACTCCCATGCCATTTTCAAAAGTCCTCTCCCACTGACGTCAAATACAAAGACAGCCGCACGAGATTTACATGCACATTTGGCCAACTTAGCTATTGACCTGTCTAATTTACATTCCGGTAGAATTATCAAGAAATCTACTCCACTAACTT